GGGAGGTGCTCCGCAGCTTTTCGATTGGTCTCCTGCTCGTTGGCAATCAAATGCTTGACGCAAGCGATGACAGACTGTTGCAAGCCCCTTATAGTCGGTGCAGTCAAGGCGCCAGTGAGATACGGGTCGTTGCTGGGGGACTCCCAGTTCCTACCACCTTTGACAACCCTGCCTAGACCTCCGACGCTGGGTGCTAATGCCACGTTGGCTCCTTTGCGCTTGAACTCGGCTCCCAAATGCAGTGCCCTCATGTAAGCCAGATCTCGGTTCCAAGTAGCTCCAAGATGGATTCCCGCGGGATATGAGTTGACGCCTTCGAAGGCCCGGACGCCAGCGCTAGCATCAGCGTAACACAAGCCGGGGATGTCCAGTCGTGGCACACTGCCCCCATTTCCGCCGCAGCCGTTGACCCCTTCGTAACCACTGGTGATGTTGGCCTTTTCCTCAAAGGTCATGTTGGAGACAAGAGACTGAGCTTGCTGGTAAACTGAAGCCCAGTCACCTAGTCCAGTCCCAACCGCTACATCAATTAGCACAATTTATCCAAATGGTCTGCTGGTCTTGCAGTTGAAACCCCTTGATCGGTACTTACGCGTAGGGTAGAAGGAAGGTGATCGTCCATAACTCCGGAAACGCTCAAGCTCCTCAAAGTATGTCTCGCTCTTGTTTGTTGCCTGTGCAAACGCAACTCCGCCAAATACAGCACCAACAAATAGGACGAGTCTCATGTTGTCGACCTCAGGTGATTAGATGTCAAGAGAATAAGCAGGTAGGTAGCGGTAGGAAGAGACATGACCTCCATACGGTTTCCAACGGTCCTTCTTATACTCATCATGCCGCCCAACCTCCATGTTTAGTTCCCCAGGTCCCCAGCTTGTAGTCTGACTTGTGGGGAAGAAAAGTTTAAGTAAAACGGCCCGAAAACTATATTGGAGCTCCATTCGTCTTATTTCAGGTTTACACTATTGCAGAAAGTAAAGTGCTGTCATGGAAAACATTTATGAGCTTCCTACCGCGGAATGATGGCTCAAAACGGTTAACAATGTGGGTCTGGGGCAGATACGTGAGTTAGAGTTAGGTTTGGAAAATAGCCGCGGCAAAATAAAACAGTCTACTACGCAACTCCAGATAGAATTTAACCGAATGAAACTATACCACTTCAAGCAAGGCTCCTACTAACTGTTTACAGTCCACCAATAATCGTAGCCTAGACATGCTAGTTAGTAATGGTCCGCCGTAAAGCGACTAATGAGCTGCAAAATTAGCCGAAGCCCTATCTCATCAACGTCCGTCGGCGACTGAATGTTCTTTTTGCCGTCACATTCTGGTCGCATGTTGACCTACATCCCAGTAACCAACGATCCCAATGCAGCAATCTTCGCCGCATTCATCAGCCGGGTTGAGCCCACTGCATGATGCTGCTCCCGATAATATTCCAGGAACTAGGTCACTGGGTCCCCACCAGGGGGAAATCCCAGAATCAGACGCGTCATCGATGCTGGCTGCTGAGCATGGTCGAACTCGCAGCTCGCGAATAAGTGTAAGCTGTGACCTGTGTCATAAACGGAAGATCAAGGTAGGCCTAAGCGTCATTACAGAGCTCGTATAAAACTTTTACCATCTTTCATCGTTTCTAATTAACCGAGCAGTGCGATGCTGGACGACCATCATGCTCTAATTGCCGCAACGTCGGCGCCAAATGTCAGACTCTACGAGCTTTAGCCAAGCGTGGAAGGAAGAGTCGAAAGCGACAATCGGACCTCCAAGTCTCACAAGACTCGGCCATCATTGACAAAAATCTACCTTCGCCGGCCGCCTACCCCGCTCCGGAAGCTTCTGGGGACTATCAAGTTCGAGAGACAACAAGCACTCCATCTTACGAGGCTTCTAACCAAACCTATCATCATGAATCGGGCCCACATGTTTCCTGCAATCAAGAGCAAAATAGTCCTCGATGTCTAATAACTTCTGTGGAGTTATTGCCCATATCACCAAGGTTGCCATCCGCAGTGAATTACAGATTCCATCCCCTTTTGCAGAACTTGGCCAAAGACTTGGCAGATGCTGGCGTCTCCACACCAGATGTCATATCTTACATGGGCACGTGTCTGGATCTCTTTGTCGATCACATTTATCCAATCTATCCCATCATATACCAACCGCATCTCCGCCAGTACCTAGAGGACCTACAATACCACGATCAGTATCCGTGGGAACCAAGATCATTCATGCTCTTGTCATTGCTTTGTGCTTATATTCTCGCTGTTTTGCCCATGTCGATATCTGGAGCTCCTTGGTGCATCGCCGAGGCATTTTACAGCGCTTTCAAGAATACACACGATCAATACCCGCAAGGCGATGTTGACCACCCTACCAGTTCTTCTGTGGCTATACACCTCTTGCACGCTGCTTGGCAAGGCACATCCGGAAACTCTAGGGCTTCGTGGTACATCTTGGGGAATGCCATGAGAACATCCCTATTGATGGGTCTACACGATGAAAAGAGCTATGAAAAAATGTCTCCAGTAGAGGCACAGCTGTGTCGGCGAGCTTTCTGGGCATTATACACAGGAGACAAAGCTGCATCTCTGCTTGGAGGTCATCCCATGACATTTGGGAAAAGCCTGTTCTGGGGCTTTACTGTTCCTCGCTATCCAGAATCGCTCGGGCCCGAGGATGAGGTCACTGTGAAACTTTACAATGGACGGCGAGAGACTCTTGACCTTTTGGTCGGATTCAATGCGAACCAGGATATATGGCGGGCAGCGGAAGATCTCTTGCTAGCGGAACGAGAAGACATGACGAATGATCTCAACACATCCGATATTCGCTTTCATACCACGGCCGCTGCCTTTCGCAAGTTCCGAACGATTCTTGACAAGGTTCACAATCCACTTCGGTTCTACTACTCGCTCGACACTAGTTTGGACGGATTCTACTTCGCTGATCAACATGATCATCGCCCACAAGTTCCTCAGGCTCTTGCGGCACAGAGAACGAATCTGCACATATCGTACCAATATTTGAAAGTGGTGTTCTTACGCAAATATCCGTCCCACTATTTCAACGATCCAAGAACTTCAGATCCTGCAGGCTCAATCGCCCAACCGTTGTCACTAACAGTCCCGTCGCAGACTGAGGCAACGGCTACCACCTCTGCGATCTCCACACCATCAAGTAGTACTGTCCAAGGCCGATCGAATTTCCAGTCAGACCATTGCCAACTCAGCTTTGGGCTTGGCTTAGTTCGCGAAACCATGCACATTGCTGAGGATATGCTATACATCATTCACACATCGAGTCTTCAAAGTCTACGGGTCAACGGGGAACCATGTATTGAGAAGATTCGATACGTGGCAGCATCTGTTCTAGAAGTGCTAGCTCAAGGTATTGGTGATACTGCCTTGCGAGAGCGAGCGCTTAAGTTCCGAGACCTTTATCCTCATCTTCTCGCTCGTTTGGAGAGTAAGGCTTCCGACGATCCCAAACTTCCGATTCATGGATGATATTGTATTATGTGAAGATAGTGTCTCTATTTCTCGCCATTTGATGTTGTTTATATTGCGCAGTAGTGCTGGGTGAAAATATATTTTATGAAACTTGATGAGATGAGAGTTCTTCTCGGGTTTATATCTCCAGTTGATTTCATCTAGGACTTTGAACTTTAAATGGGCCTGCCTTTAGGATATCCAAAAGCAAGCTACTGCTGGTGTCTTGATTATAAGCAGATGGGGAGGTGCTGCGCCACCTCAACGGGCCTAAGAGAATGGACCAATAAAGAAATAATGGCTTATCTAGACTGGGATAAATCAGAGACTAATTGCAGTGAAGCACAAGTAGCTCGAGAGACCGAGAACCGGGGCTGTTCACAAGCAGAAGAGGCATGGGTGAGCTTTGGGAAATAGCCTAGCAGGATGTCGATGAACAAGAAGCCTTGTACTCGGCCGTGGAAGAGGAAGAAGGCTATATTGCGGTACAGCTCTACCTCTAGTAGAATTTGGAGTAAATTTGGAACTCAGATATGTCGTGGCTATTTCACCTCAAGCCAGTGGTTCATTGAAATAGCTGGTAAATGGGGGCGAGGTAGTCCGATAGCGGAGAAAACTATACCAAATATGGAAACTGGGACCGGACCCGTCCAATTTTAGAAGGACGGGTACCCGTCCGCTGTGAGGGTTAATTTAATCCAAATTACCCCGCTTTTGGGTAAAGAGCCGCATTTAAGGTTCTCTAGCTTGGTTCGGCAGTTCAGCGAGGCCGCTGCGGGTTAACAGGCATATAATCCCAGAAGATAGCCGCTTCTGATAAGAGGCAGGAATTAATTGTCGTTGAACCCAGGACCTACCTAATACATTGCAAGTAACTAGCAGCGACCTATCCTTGACTGTAGCACTCCTTCTGTTGGTTGTAATCCAGCCCGTGACAGGGGAAGCTGGGGGTCCAAGCCAGGCCCATGGGGTAACGGAAGGGGTGGCTATTCCCACCGGAAGTCCCGTGCCTGATGACTTGATCGCAGTCCTTTTTGGACAAGCGTCTCAACGTTTTGACCTCCTTTCGAACGTTGAGTCAAGCGGAAAAGATTGAAGCTATTGACCATAGTGGATTTTCATGTACGAACGTTCCCAGGCCTTCATGTCCATGACAAGGAGGGCGCGCCTTATTGTCACTATGTCAAGTTGCGCTTCCAGCCGGCATCTGACGACTTACAGAATCTGAATCAAGCAGGCTGATACTAGCACGGCTAACTGAAGTTGAAGGCTTGGATCGAGAAAGAACCATGTCACTAAGTGGAGTTGGGCTGAGGCGCTTCGACTTGCCCTCCCAGTTCAGCTGAAACTTTCCAAAAGCCAAATTCGCAACCATGGCATGAAGAGATCGGATTACACCGGACGAGATAGAAAAAAGATAAATCTACATGCTGCCTTCAATCACTTACTATGAACTCAAGTTAACAACACATCAAGGTTCTACTCTACAACCACCGCAACTAGCTAGCAGCCATGACGCCCCGCAAGCTTTTCCGTAACGGACGGATCCTGACAGAAGCTGATGCCAGATACGATACACCAGTCCAATTCGTTGACAGTATGCTGGTTCAGGATGGGAAGATTACCGCCTTGGGATCCCATCAGGACATTGCAGATGGTATCGAAGAGCTCGAAGTCCATGACCTCCAACAGCGTGTCGTGCTACCGAGCTTCATTGATGGGCATATGCATCTTCTACTCCTCGGTCAATCCCTCCGTAAGGTAGACCTCACTAAATGCAACAACCTCGAAGACATCCGGTTAACAATCAAGGCATTTGCCACTGCAAACCCGCATGTGGATACTATCATGTGCAGAGGCTGGATGCACTTTATGACTCCAGACGGAGTAACAGCGGCTCTGATCGATGATATTGATCCACGACCTATCTTCATCGATAGCAGTACGTTGCACTCATGCTGGTGCAACTCGGCTGCATTGAAGGTCCTGGATATCGAAGACATGCCTGATCCGGCAGGAGGCAAGATCCATCGATATGCCGACGGCAAGCCTTCTGGTTTGCTTGATGAGGGAGCTATGATGTCTATCATCTGGCCATTCCAAACAAAGTCGTCTCCCAAAGAGGAACGCATCGAAGCGATCCGCGCCGCCATCCAGAAATACAACGCTGCGGGCTATACCGGCCTGGTAGAGATGGCCATGGATGAGGAGGGCTGGGATGCCTTGGTGACATTATTTGGAGAGTCAGATCATGCTATTCGCATCGCGGCGTACTGGCTTATCAGGCCTACCACAGATCATGAGGAGAACCTAAGACAGGTCCGGCGTGCAGGCAAGCTAAGCAGAAAGTTCAATAGCTCAACCAGTTCGAATCTGCGACTTGTTGGTGTCAAACTTATTTGCGACGGTATCATTGATGCTTGTACTGCGTATCTCTCGCAGCCCTACTCCCCACTGCCGGCTTGCTTTCCACCTCCGATCTGGGAAAGAGGGTACCTTGAGCCTGTTGTCAAGGAAGCTGACGGTCTCGGGTTGCAAATTGCGCTCCATGCCATCGGAGACGCAGCAATCAAGATGGCCATTGACTCCTTAGAGAGGTACGGCACTGTTGAAATGGGAAGATTCAGGTTTCTTAATTCATTCAAAATATGCAGTAGGAGAACTACTGTTTATGTACAGGCACCACCTCCGTGGAATGTTCCACCTTGTTTCACACCTTGCCACCGACTTGGTCGTCTCACATTTGTGATCTCCAACACTCCCACTCGAGCAAGACGGTGGGTACCTGGACTTATCTAAGATCTCAGCAACCTCATTAAAACCTTAAAACACCTTCGTGGGTGAAAGAGGAAAGAGTGTTGCTGAACCCGTCAAGGCTCGGCACAGTCCTGGGCACGTAGGGAATATTGTCTTAGATATGACAAGAATCCCACTGCAGCCCATATCTGTGTCATCCTCGATGAGCGCTGTATGCGCTTCTCATACTTCCCGGCCTCAGTCCACTGAATACAGCCCCCGAGCCTTTGACTTCATCTTTTGCCGGATCCATTACGCCGTGTTAGCAGCGCTCTCGGCCGTGTTAGCAGCCTCCTGTCCTTGGTGCTCGTTGGCAATACTGCGGCTGCTAGCAGTACCAAGGTTCCATGGCCAGTTCGGGACTTGCAACCCATGCGACTTTAAATCTTCTTTTGCCGGGTCTATCACGCCGTGTTAGCAGCGCTATCGGCCGTGTTAGCAGCCTCTGGTCCTTGATGCTCGTTGCGATAACTGCGGCTGCTCGCAGTACCAAGGTTCCATGGCCCAGTTCGGGACTTGCAACCCATGCAGCTTTCCTTCCCGGCTTTGGTCCGCTGAATACAGCCCCCATAGCCTTCGAGTCGTCTTTTGCCAGATCTTTAGGAGTCTTGGTCTGGTCAGGAATTGCAACCCATGCGGCCAGGTCACTGTTGACCTTCTAGCGGTAGTTGGAGTGAGTTGGACAAGCTGCCATTGTATGTGATAATCGGGCGGTAGACTCCCACTGGATCCTCGCGCAGTGGGCTAGGGGTAACATCTGTTGAATGTGTTCCAGAGATCGCACAGCTTCGTAGCGTGGATCCCCTTTCTGGCCCAAATAGTTTTACTCATCCGGTCCGACAACTCCCAGAGCCTTCCGGAACAACTGAAAACGATCCTTGGGAAGTGCTTTTGTGAGTCCATCAGCCACTTGTTTGTCGGTCGGGATATAGTTCATCTCAACTTCTCCGCTGGCCGTCTTTTCTCGCACAAAGTGCTCCTGAATCGCAATGTGCTTTGTGCGGGAGTGGTATTGGGGGTTCTTAGTCATTGCAATTGCCCCTTGGTTGTCTCCGTAGATAATTGTGGCAGCGATTTGGTCTGTGGCGTTTAGACCTCCCAGTAGTTCTTTTAGCAAGGTTCGCAACCAGATGGCTTCCTTGGTTGCCTGTGTCTGCCCCATGTATTCAGCTTCACAGGTAGACAGCGCCACTGATTGCTGTCGCTTTGCGGCCCAGCTTATCGCACCGCTGCCAACGTTGAAGATGTATCCCGCAGTGGACCTTCTAGTCTCAGTGTCTCCGGCCCAGTCCGAGTCCGTGTAGCCCGTCAACGGGCGAATATCCCCTCGGAACTCGAGCTTGAAGTCGCAGGTTCCTCGTAGGTACCTCATTATGCGCTTCACTGCGGCTTCCTGGGCCTTAGTGGGATTTGCGAGATAGCGGCTGCATAGGGAGACGCCGAATGCAATGTCTGGTCTGGTCCCTAGCATTGCGTACATCAGACATCCGATTGCTTTAGCGTACCAGTGCTTGCGATCTGAGTGAGTGTCTTCATCGTCAAGGGCGGGCTCTAACTTCGCTGTTGCCACTGGGGTCGCAGTCGGTTTGGAGTCCCATAGTCCGAATTCCTTCAGGACTTTCTCAATGTACCCCTTTTGCGAGAGGCTCAGTCTCCGCTGTCTGCGGTTCCGAGTAATGGACATCCCTAGGTAGAAGTGACAAGGCCCCAGGTCTGTCATGCTGAACCGTTGGTTGAGGTTTTGTTTTATCATCTCGATGTCCCTTTTTGATGGTCCTGCGATGAGCAGGTCGTCCACGTAACCGGCAATGTAGGTTTGGCCATTGATGAAGACACCCATGTCGGAAACGAGAGGCTGGAATCCCTGCTCTTAGAGGAATAAAGAGAGAGTCTGGTACCATATTCTAGGTGATTGCTTCAGCCCGTATAAGGCTTTTCGCAGTTTCCAGACTCTTTCGGTTCCGTCATCGAAGCCCTCTGGTTGCTCAACGTAGATCTCCTCGTCGATTTTCCCATAGAGAAAGGCGGTTTTGACATCCATTTGTCCGAGCTCAAGGTCAAGCGTTGCGGCTATAGCGAAGATTGCCTTGTAAGTCATAGGCTTGACGACTGAGGCAAACGTCTCGTTGTAGTCGATTCCTTCCTGTTGCTCGAAGCCTCGGACCATGTAGCGTGCTTTGAACCGCAGGATTTCTTCATTAGCTCCCCTTTTGAGTTTGAATACCCACTTGCCCCTTAGTGCCTTTCGGTCCGGTGGCAGATTTGCCAAGGTGTAGACTCCGTTCTCCTTAATGGAGTCTATCTCGGCGGTCATTCCCTTGAACCAGTTCTCCCACTGAAGAGAACCTCGGGCTTCTTTTATCGTTCGGGCTCCGCCTCGTCTTCCAGAGAAGCCGCAAGATTAACGTGGACGCACATGAGGTTAGTGAGAGTATTGGTTCCTAGGAGCAGGTACCTCGAGGGAAGTTTTGCTTTGGTTAATCTCTGTGAGACTCGGAGCTCTTCGTCCTGGCCTGTCGCCCCGGTCGAATCATGGCGAGGCTCGGATGTTCGGACATGAATAGTGTCTGTTTCATTCTCCGATATGATCTCTTCAACCTGTGGGATGGCATCGTGTCGTGGCGGAGCTGCTTTCTTGGGTGAAGGTTCTGGCTCTGGATACAAGGTAGGTCCCTCGCTTCTCGTTCTCTTTGATCCAGTAGGTGTTCCTGTTGCCTCGTGAAAGCTGGATTCGTCGAAGATGACATTGTTGGCGATGAAGACTCGGCTATTGTTGTCTACAACAATGTAGTTACTGGAGCCTTGATATCCAAGAAGTCGACACTGAATCGTTTTTGCACGTAGCTTTTGTCTCTTGGCGGATGGCAATATGGCCCATCCATTTGCACCAATAACGCGGAGATGAGAGAGGTCTGGCTTGTCTCCGAACCACGCCTCATAGGGCGTCTTGTTCAGGGCCTTGTTAGGGCTTCTATTCCGTATATACACGGCCGCGTAGAGGATATAGGGCCAGAGCTTTCGCGGCAGGTTCGATCGCTCGAGTGTGGGTGTAACCTTTTCTTGAAGCACACGATTAAAGGCCTCCGCAATCCCATTCTGCTCATGCTGATCGGTCGCGGTATAATAAATTGTGATGCCCTTGTTATCGCAGAGGGTACATAGCTGGTCGCTGCGGTTTTCGCCACCCTGGTCGACGTGGAGGTAATGGCATCGACGTTCCGGCCTCTCGTATGTATCGAGGAGATGTTTGAAACGCCTTGTGAACTCGGACTTTTCCTTGACTGCGTATGCCCAGCCCATGCGGGTAAAATCGTCCACGAAGACAACCCAATATCGCGAGCCGTCATATGCTGTGTCTGAAAATGGTCCTGCAATGTCTGCATGGACGCATTCTAGCGGATACGTCCCTTTCCGGATTGACTTTCGGTGTGGTCTCTCTTTCTGTTTTCCAGCTATGCAAGGTTCGCAATTTTGTCCGCGTAGAATGGGGTGAATGCCGTGTGCCATCCCCCTCAGTGCCTTGATTCCGCTCTCGCTTAGATGTCCAAGTCTTTCGTGCCATATTTGAAGTTCGGGGTCGCTGATAACAAGTGACGCCAAGGCTGCGTTGATCGCTTCGTCTGGTTGGTTCTTGGATGATCTTGGCGCTGCTTTCTCCTGAATCGCTTATCGTTCAGGCGTTTCTGCTCCTTGAAGGCAGCGACCATAGCAGCGTGCTTGATTGTTGTTGCGTCCGCTGATCAGTTGATTGGTTAAATCTGTCCTTTTTGTGGGGGCCAATTTGATCAAACCGGAAGGAAGGTCTTCCAGTTTTTTTTTTTTTTTTTTTCAGACAGGCTGTTTAGACCGGCAGCCCGGAAGTCCGGACTTCCAGTCAGAGGTTGGTGTCATCTATGTTTCCCAAAAAGCAAGTTCAACACAACAGCCAAGATAGAAAAATCAGAGATTTTCTGCAGGTCATTTCCATCTGGCTGTGTAATAAGGGAAGAAAGTATCGAGATTGGTAAATGATCAAGTAGCGGGTTCTTCGTTCAAGAGACAGCAGGATGAAGGGTCGTAATTCTGGCGGGGTCCAAGACCGCTGTTGAGTCTCCGCTGCAGTGGAAGGGACTGTGAGGTCCTTGTGAGTAAGGGACGGATGATTAGGTAGGAGACTCAGCTTTAGATTTAGTTTAGCCTTCCGGGCTCATAACCTGTTGAAATGGGAAGATTCAGGTTTCTTAATTCATTCAAAATATGCAGTAGGAGAACTACTGTTTATGTACAGGCACCACCTCCGTGGAATGTTCCACCTTGTTTCACACCTTGCCACCGACTTGGTCGTCTCACATTTGTGATCTCCAACAGGCACTCCAGGACGCCGTCATCGCGTAGAACACCTAGAGCTCGCATCACCAAGAGACGCTCAACGACTTGGTGAGCTTGGTCTCACAGCATCTGTTCAGCCCGTCCATGCCGACCCATCAATCCTGCAAGACTGGCCAAAGCTTTTAGGCAAAGACCGCTGTTCCCGAGCCTTTGCCTATCGCGAGTTTGCGGATGCTGGTGCTCTCATGGCACTAGGAAGCGACAGCCCTACGTCACCTTGGCTACCCATGCATAACCTCTATGTAGCAACTACGCGTCAATCGTCTCGAAAGCCAGGCTATGGAAAACCTGTAAATGAGCACTTTCGGCTTGGCTTGTGCGAGGCTATCGTTGCAGCGACTGAAGGGGCTGCACGAAGCGTATTTGAACACAGGACAGGAAGTCTGGAAGTTGGGAAGTTGGCAGACTTTGTTGTTGTCGATATGAGTCTAGACCCAAACAAACTGTTAGAGGCAAAGGTCAAAGAAACTTGGTTTGAGGGCCAACGGGTTTGGAGCGAAGCGGAAGAAGAGGCAAAGTAGTTAGTTTCTTGCAAGCAAATTTGATAGCTCGTAAACGCTTTTTATGCCACCAATCTCCAGACAATTCTACACCTTTAGATCGTTTTTCTTATACACGTTTGCAAGTACGAGCTAGTTCCAATACCTTCTGTGTACACATGAACGTTGCAAATGGTTCAATCTCGAGTCAAGTTGTGTTAATCTACCACGAGACATTGCAGACAAAAGTTGATTGAGCATCATTTATTTACCAATGTTATTGAGCAGCATCTGTCTTGTCAAGGTCCATATCCCTCCGGCCATCCATATCCTTGATGAAAATCAACAAGGTAGGGACATCAAAGACATGAAGTCAGTCCGCTCGGACGTGCATGCCGTATGTAACCCTGGCCATCCTTTGCGAGAACAGTCGATAACAAACTATGTGTAATAGAATGTGGATGGTCATAGGATATCCGATCTCCCAACTCAATGGATCAATCAAGGTGAAAGCAAAGGTTCCTGGGAGGGCAGGTCGAAGCGCCCCCAATTTTGAACTCGGAATGGGCTCTGATTCGGCAAATGCTAAAGATGGCGGGGTAACTTACCACACAAAAACCCCACCCGTTCCCCAGATCAATCTCACTCTCCCAAAAACACACACATTCTCCTGGGAAAGGAAAGCAACTGCCATGACGCCGTTTCCGAGTGGTTGCTGGACCTGCAAACTCAGACATCGGAAATGCGACCTTCGGACCCCCGTGTGCGGAGAGTGCAAAGACCGATGCATTCCGTGCCACGGCTACGGCCCCAAGCCCGTGTGGATGGATGGGTCAGCTGCCGAGAAACAGGAGCTTATGCGCATCAAGAAGGCTGTCAAGCAGAATGCTCAGGATCTACGACGAGCCCAGAAGAGTAATCGGCAAGCAGCGAGGGAGGCAACACCTACTGCTAGACAATCTCCGCCACAGACACCCCTAGCCCAAGACGCCACTAGCCATTCGTCTCCTTCGCAGCCAGGGCATGTTGCAGACCATGGCAGTCTTGGCCTCGGGCGTTCCAACAACCCAGAGCGTCTTCACCTGGGCCTCGAACGTACCCAAAGCTTGGTCCAAGATGAAACAAGTCCACAAGCTAGCCTACGTCCAGAGCATTCGACTCCCTCGTGTCTTACGGCCCGAATTGGCATCTCTAATCATGTACTATCTGGATCATGTATTTTGTTGGCAATTCCCTTATTTCAGCCCCCGTTCCCGTCTAGGCAATAGAGGATGGCTCCTCTTGTTCCTCGACAACGGCGGTTCCCTGTCTCACGCTGCCCTGGCACTCTCCGCCCTGCACCGAAATGCACTTCAAGTCTCTCGACGGCAGGGCTACCTTCATAACCAAGAAGCCTTCGAATATTACTCAAGGGCTTTAAGGGAGTTATGCGAGTTTTCGCGCCGCACAGAGACCGAGACGCTACTCATCGATAAGCCTAAACTTGCGGAATTTGTCGCTGCAAGCAGGACGCTGATAAGTTTTCAGGTAATAACAGGAGTGGTGGGAGAGTTCGGTGGTTCTTGAAGGATTCTAACTTGTCTCGACCCTTTATAGGTTTTCAACGGCGCAGAATATGACTGGCTTCCTCGCCTCGATGCCGTGATGACTGTTCTCGGCATGAATTCACCGGAAGCTCTTCTTAGAAATTCCTCATCCTCCGATAACACATTGACTTCTCTAGTGAGCATGAACTGCGAAAATAGCGGCGAAGAATCCCAACCGGATTCCGATTTCCTTGTAGCTCAAGCATTGTGGTATGACATCCTGGCATGTGTCTCGACAGGTCGAGTGCCGCGGATTCCATATCAACAATGGCTCGAAGGGTCAGATCTTGACATGGCCGACTTGATGGGTTGTTATAACTGGGTTATGATTGCAATCGGTGACATCGCGCATCTCCAAGCCTGGAAAAAAGACATGAAGGAGCAAGGGACGTTGAGCGTACCAGAGTTAGTGATGAAAAGTCGAAACATTGAGACGAGACTACAAAACGGTATTGTGGAACTAGAGTTGGCAGACAAGGTGAGTACCATTAAAAATAGAGAACCACCTTGGGACACAAACGGGTACTAATGCCTCAACAGGGCGATACCGAAATTCCTCAGGCGACATGGGTCTCGCACATCTTCGCCCTGGCATCGCTGGTCCTATCAAGCACTATAGTCTCAGGCCCTTGGGCATCTCTTCCCGAAGTCAAGGAGACGGTTGCAAAGGCCGTTGATGTGCTTCGGGGCTGGCCCAGGGCCATTCCACTCCAGGGTCTCGTTTGGCCTCTCTACATCATTGGGTGCATGGCCGATACCGAGCAACAAGGCTTCTTTGAGTCACTCCTGACCAATCTCATTAAAGAATGCGGGGGTTTCGGAAATAGTGGCACTGTGCTTAAGATCATGAAGAGTTGCTGGGCTTTGCAGCATCGTGATCGAAATGGGGCGGGGTTGGTGCTTCAGACGGGAGGTCGTGTATTGCTGATATGAATAACCCAAATTATTGAACATGCCCCATGTCATTTTCTGTCTAATAGGCGATGGTCTTAGTTTCTTCTGGCCAAAGTGAAGTCTCCTCGGAAAGCATAATGGTAGTATGTGGAAGTCTAACCCTGTATCTGCAGTAGCACGCGTCTGTGGCGAAACCTGAATGTGGGGTACACTCGGCTTAATGTGCATTCTGGGAGGGCAAGTCGAAGCGCCGACAGCTGTGAAACTTAGGAAAAAGTCAACTTGTTTGCTATTATTTATTAGCCCCATGTTATTCGAGCTATTCTATTTAATTTGCTTCTCAAACACCTCGAACTCACGTGTCAGAAAACTGATAGCTTTCAACAACGACATATACAGCCTCTGATCTATCTTTCTTCTCGGGTGAGATACATGGTCTTATCCCCAGTACCGCTTTACATGCATTAACTGTTTGGTAGAAAAAGTTCATCACCGCAAACATGAAGTTTGAGCGCATGCCCATTGAGATCGAGTCACCTGAGGAGTATGGCTATGACAAGATCAAGTATAACCTCTCCGAGAGCTCCATCACCGACCAGACCCTCAAGTCTCTGAACCTCGAAATCCCGAACCTCACCCTTCTGTATAACGAACACCGTGGTGAGACCGAACTGCGGAAGTTCATCGCTGACGACGCCAACGTGAGCGCTGACGACGTCCTTATCACTTCAGGCGCCGCTGGGGCCTTGTTCATCATCACCACTTCGCAGCTCGGGAATACACCTGCATCGGAGCGCAATCATCTTGTTGTGGTGCGCCCCAACTACGCAACCAATTTGGAAACGCCCAAGGCTGTAGGTTGCGAGATCTCTTACATTGATGTCGTTTTTTAGAACGGCTTCCAGCCTAACATCGACGAGATTGAGGCCTTCATCAAGTCCAATACCCGGCTCGTCTCTGTGACATGCCCTCATAACCCCACCGGCTCTACTCTCTCTCGGGAGGCACTTGATTGTCTTGTTGCTATTACCAAGAAAAAGGGTGTTCTACTGCTTGTCGACGAGACGTATCGGGATATCGCTTTTGGCGAGAAACTTCCTGTCGCGGCCTCTTTGGGCGATCATGTTCTGAGTGTTAGCTCATTGTCCAAATCTTTTGGCATTCCTGGCGTCCGTATCGGCTGGCTCATCGCCACGAACAAGAAACTTCAAGAAACCTTCCTAGCTGCGAAGGAACAGATCAGTATTAGCGGCAGTGTCATCAATGAGTGGATAGCGATAAATGTCCTCTCGCGACGCCAGCAGATCCTGGCCGAAACAACAGATGAGATGAAGATCCGGCTTCAGATGGTCGAGTCATGGATCGAAAGTGAGGAGCTGCTGGAATGGGTCAAGCCGACCGGTGGCGTTGTCTGTTTCCCTAGGATTAAGAAGGAGCCCAAGGGGGGACTGCCGGCATTCTACGAGAGGCTTCTTAAGAAACATTCCACCTATGTTGGCCCTGGCCATTGGTTTGAGCTGTCTGATAGCTTTTTCCGACTTGGCTATGGATGGCCCTCACGTGCAGACCTTGAGGGAGGTATGAAGGCTATCTCAGCTGCACTGCGGGATGAGTAGAAGACAGATAGATTCATTTGGTAGTATGGGTGGAAAATGAACGCGAGAAATGGACAGCTTATGTCCTGAGTGAGTGTATCTTACGATCTTGCAGTTATGTTATGTGTCCCTTGCACTATTTCCACCAGTTCATATTGATCATAAAGTGAATCGGTATTCGACTAAACCACTTGTTTCGGATACCTGAATGTTACGACAATTTCAACCTTTGCTATAAGATTTACACAGTTGCCATGCAAGGTTACTTATACCGATCACAATAATGCTTTGGAAACCAAGACATAAGCGCAACAACAGAGTCACATCAAGCAACTTGGAAACAGACAGTGTTTATCAGAATCACTCTATAAATTCCAATCACTCACTGTGGTTTATGTTAATCCGTAGGCTTTTGCAGTTAAACAGTTTACGCTGTAAGCCCATTTACGCCTTGGCAGTGAAACTTTTTCTCCTTCTCTACCATGAGATACCTAGAAGGTAGGCCTCCATCTGTAACTATCTGGTGTAGGGTAGTGGTCCGGGAAGATCAGAATTTTTGCCTCGATATTAGACGATCGCATAATGCATTTATAATATATCAATTATGTTAACTTTCGAAATGCATGAATTGATTTGATTGAAAGGAAGAATTCGACAATTTGATTGATTTGATTGGGGTGATTGATTGATTGAGTTGACATATGAGCGCTGCTTTAAACCTCATGCAGTAAGCGGGACACAGCAATCTCACACACAAGAAGGTGAATAGCACACAATTCACCCTAATATTTGACAGCTCTTGTTCATTTTTCTTACCATTGTCTTTCGTCAAGGTCACCAAGTCATACGGAGTCGCCGACGGCCTGCCGGCTCCTCTGCCGCCAATCGAGCTGCGCAGGAGGCGTTTGGGTCCGAGGTGCGAGTGGATCTCCGTGTGCCACTGGGGATCGACGAATATAACCACCACATGAACGGTGTTGACACCAGAGACCAGCCGAGATCCTATAACCAATAATCACGACCCATAAGGGCAGGAGGGTGGCATTCAATAGCCTGGAACTTCCTGCTCAAAGTGATACTCGTCAATAGTTTTCTACTTCAAATCTGGGGCGAGCCCGAGTGGAAGGTCTTCGAGAGTCAATATGGGGACACCTATCTGGTCAATTAATCCCGCGTTTCGGGTCGTCAGTACACGCAGGGCGACTTGCCCGGCAACGAAGAGGCTCAGATAAAAGGAATGATAAGATTCCATGGCAAGAGCATAGTCGAAGGAAGTGCGGTTCCAATTCCCCTTGCGTAGCTTGTAGCAGCCTTCCGCGGGTGAGAGAAGCATTAGGACGGGTGTCCGGAAACAGAGGCAAAAGGAGGTACTCGAGATCAGGTTGCTATGAGTGCAATGTCTCTCTATGTAACTCGGAAAATTGCTGGTACTAATTTCACAAGCAAATTGTCTAGTAAATAGAAATACCGATAGGGTGCGGTTTCTGATTGGGTCGAAACTTTCTTAGCAGCTCGCTAATTGGCTGCAGCCATGCATCTCCATGTACCGGTGCTGGGTTGTCACGTACAAGCAGGGGTCATCTAAGATTGCGCACGTAAACAGTAAAGCCTCCAAGGGGCAGAATTTGGACACAACACAGCATGAATACCGAATCTGCATCAATGGACCGAATACACGTAATGTCTGACAGTACCTGGCGTCAGTTAGCACTTGATGGGATAGACCTAGCTTTGTGCTACCTGCTCCGCCACTATAAATGTTCTACTTGTATGGGTCTTAAAATATGCGATATCTGTACTTGGAAGTGCGGGCGCCAGTTAGAACTACGGGTGCGACGGTGCCACATTGGTGAGACAACGCACTACGCCACTAATCACCGGATTAGGTTTTTGGTGTCTGTGTGTTAAGCTAATGAATGTGGGATAGACTAGCACCGACCAAGAGCCCTGCATTTAATCAATAGGAAATCTAACCCATGTCTAGCGATGTGACGGCTGAACTTACTCCAGAATGTTGATCTAGGGTCTTGAAAGCATGCTATTCTGAACCGATTTGCCCATCCTTCCACCATTGCGAGAACGCATGCCTCTACGATGTAACATTCCCCGCAATTCCCCTCACTAGTGGCGCCGACTTCATCTCCTGCGAACCCTGTCATCTGCGCGGCTAGGGGAGCTGACGGAATATGCCGAAGGAACATGATAGGGCATCTCTAAGCTGAATGAGAGAGGACTGCTATGACTCAGGCAGCAGACCAGCGAGAATGATGTAGGCCAATAAGCTTTGGCCATCTCCAGGCCTTATGGATAACTTGCAGAGAGGTGTCGTAACGACGCCTGTGGCGCTCTCTGTACAGTAAGTTGCGAGCCTACCAGTTCCTAGGAACACCACGTTGTGCAGTAGGCTGAAGTTGCGCATGTGAATACGGAGGTGAGTTCCATTGCTATAATATGCAGGCCGCTGGTGCCTTGCAGTCAAACGTTTGCCAGAGTTGTGATTCATTCCTGTTACTGCTGCCTTCCCACCCGATTCATCATGATTACACTCCTCTCTCCGCACTATGTGCTTCAAGAAGTCACCGAAGACGATATAGTTATCGCCTCACTTGCCTGGGGCTTCACAATTGGCTTCGGCTGGCTCACAACCTGGACTGCTATGAAGCAAACAAAACATATTTACAAGAGACATCGCCTTAGCGTATTCCGCAACGCTTATGTCTGGATGATATGGCTGGAGATTCTTGTCTGCCTCATCTTCAGTATTATCTGTTGGTTGCACTTGAAAGACTATATACCCCCTAGGTTGGGCTCAATTCCCGTTTACAGATTTCGAAGTGCTAATCCTCCAATGTCTCTAGTTTTGCATTCTATTTTGCTATTCGTACGTCTGCCCTCTTGGAGCCCTCTTCGTAACAGATGCTAATCTTGGCAGTTACCACGTGGGCCCTTCAAGTATGCTTCACTTATCCTCGCGAAATTGGTTGTCAATGCTAATCTGGCCAGGTCCAATTCCTCCTACAAATTATCATCAACCGTTGTTCCATCCTTCTTACTGATAAAAAACACGCCTACCGTCTCAAAGTCGGTGTTGCAGTTTTAATTACCGCTGTGAATATTTCGGTCTATACCATTTGGATTCCCGCCCGCCTACAAATTTCAGAGAGATATATCTGGATCAACGAGTGGTGGGACCGTGTTGAGAAGGCGATCTATCTGATTGTCGACGGAGCACTGAACTACTATTTCATCAGAATCGTTCAACGCAACTTAGTAGTGAATGGCCTGACAAAGTACAGAAGTCTAGTAAAATTCAATATGTGTATCGTTGGATTCTCTCTTAGCATGGACGTTCTCATCATTTCCATGATGAGTTTACACAACACATTTGTGTAAGTCAAGTCTATAATCGAGTGTGAGCAACACCACTAACAGCAGCTTTAGTTACATGCAGTTCCATCCTTTTGCCTATATTGTCAAGCTCAAGATCGAGATGTCCATGGCTGATCTAATTGGCAAGGTCGCTAGGAAACGCGACTGTGGCGTCGTCTCCCAGGGTACTTTCAGCAATGCCGAGGAAGGACGTGCTGGACTCCCAAACAAAAGCTTCGCTTCTGTCAGCAGGAATCAAAGGACGTTGGTGGAGGAGATTGACGACGTACTAGATGCAGTTTCTATTGAACTTCAGGAAGTGGCAAATGGGACGATGAGCGACGCAGACAAGTTTGCCAGCCGATATTCGTGTTCAGATTTGCAAGTGGGGACAGCTATTTATACTACACGAGAAATTTGCATTGACGCCGAGCGGACGCCAAGCAGCCATGGGGCAGGTAGTGTCGCCAGCTTCCGTGAGATCGGATTTGCAAGCAAGGAGGACGATGATACCAGACCGCTGAGGGACAACCAGCAAGACGACCAGAAGGCAATAGGTCTTTCTACAAATATACGGGCCAACAAGAGGTGTGGCGTTCGCTCGCCCCCTCCTTCTTGGAAGAGGGCCCAATAGACAGCAATGAGCTCGGGAAGAGACATTTGTGGGGGTGGGGGGCCAAGTCGCTCGAGAATGAGAATAACGTGGTCAATAAGCCAGTCGTGAATTTTCCACTCGACGCGTCTTCACATTATAAGATGAAAGTGATATTTTCTCGTTTGCTATTCAGCTAATCACTAGTATCGGTGGCCAACCCGTTCACAACCCAAGTTTTCCACTACGCCGCTCAAAAAAACATCGAGCTTTTTTCCTTTCCTCCACCCCTCACACACCAGCTTCAGCCCTGTGATGTGGGCATGTTTAGCCTCTACAAGCACTGGCATCAGCAAATTCTATATAGAGCGATCTCTGGCGGCACATCCAACTTTGGGAAGTCTAACTTCCTTGCCCACCTTGAGGAAGCCCGGAATCGCACCTTTAAGGAGTCAGTTATCATTAAAGCTTGGCAGAAGTGCGGTATCTTTCCTTTTGACCCCTCTATTGTGCTAGGTCAATTGAAAGACCCCTTATCGTCATTGGCAGAAGAAGTGTTGCACAAGGAGCTTCCGGGTTACGTCAGAGAGGGGACAGCCGCTTCAGACTGCACCCTGCACCCTGCCCCCTGTACAGCTTCCAGACGCCTTCCCCGAGGTGCAATTTGACCTAGGATGATGTCGACCCCCCCCCCCCCATTTTTTTTAAATTTTTTATACGTATGCGCACAATCGAACGCTATTCCGAGTATGCGAGGTTGCGATTAGAGGCATTTATTGCCTCTGGTGTCCCCCTGACTCCGTCCGTTCCACGTACCTACGATGAAATGCGAAAAGGGCACATGGCACTTGCACTCAACGGCATCGCCGCTACTCAGGAGATGCATCGTCTTAAAGAGAAGGCATTAAGACGAGCTAGGCTCGAGGAAGGGACGTCAGTTATATGTAAGTACGGCCCAATTCACGTCTCTGATGCAAGGCTGCGTGTCGCCCGCGATGAGTACAATCGACAAGCTGCTCAGGAAGAGGAAGAGTGCCGCCTTTTAAAGAGATATGTAACAGACAAGGTGGTCTACATCAGGAGGTGGTTTAAAGAGGTCAGGGCACGCGTACGGCGTAGCGTCAGAGATGTGAAGACCAAGGAGATCTTGAGTCATAAGAAGAAGCATTGGAGGTCTCTTTTGCAATTTAAGAATCAGGCTGCCTGGTGGTATAAGGCTGATTATCGTGTCTAGCTTAACTCGGCTGTATCGCTCAGTCAAAGATATGCGTTGCATCGTGAGCTTCAGGAACAGAATAAGCTTCTTCCTGAGTGGCAGCCAGCCGTGAAAATGCCCTTTTTTCATGGCACTACAGTCATTGCAGAGGCTCTTAGATTCTTCGTATTAGATGAGCAAGGAAGGCGTGCAAATAAAGCTCTGATCTTGAGCTATGAGGCTGACGGGCTAGAGATAATCAAGGAAATTGAAGGCTAGGATGACGTGAAGGAATTCATCACAGTCAAGGGCGAAAACAGCGAGAGAGATCTGAAATTGTCATCGATTTCAATTTATCAGTTGAAGAGCTATGTAATCCCTTAATTGAGGGCGAAAAAAGCGACTCCCTAGCTGTCAATTTGGCGGTCCCGATGCTCCTTTAGATGCGTGTGTAACAATTGACCTGCAAATGCAGAGAAGTATGCTTGAAATGAAGTGGCATCTGATCGCTAAGAAAATGGCTGTATACAGAGGTACCAATTTCTTTTCTTTTTTTTTTTTTTTTGCAAATCATCCCGACTTTTGCTAGTCAATAGACCCCCGCCCCGGAGGTACGAGTGGCAGGGATGGGCGACTTGCAGCACCCCTAGTAAGGTATCCTCGCATATTCGCCAGGTTCAGATTGGTACAAGGCGTCACTACTTCCGCCTTCAAATCAGTTTCCCACGGGGTAGCCCCAAGTGGGCCAATTAGGCATGCAGATCGGTGTGGAGGGGGCGCCTTTCTCGGAACCAGTGGCGATCCCCGTGTCGTACCGTTTCGGCTTCACCCGGCCGAGACCGGGCCTCGCACACGGCGACAAACATCAAGCCCTCCACGACGACCCTCGTTGCGGGCGCAAACGACTCATATGTCGCAAGCCAGGCAGGATCTCTGTTGAAACGAGCATATTGTGTTGTATATTGAAAAGGAAAAACTAGCGCTAACTAGCGGAAGCTATTGACAAGACATCTTCATCCCAGCCACCAATGGATCGGAATAGCCATTGATCCGTTAAACCATGAATCTCAACAATCTCAACGAGCCTCAGGAAACAACTATACTTAGTAATCCAGCTGCGTGCTTCAAGTAAAACTTGTGGGCTAGAGTACCCCACACCTTAGACAACAATTATCAACACATTTGCTGCTGCTCATCATGTTCACTTTAACCCTTTAAGCACGCTCGGTACGACAGGATAGCATCAAAGGGCAGCTTCGATAATTGCGACTGCTTCGTGAGGCGTTTATACTGCTTATATATATATAGGCCGGACTACTAGGTAGGGGTCCGGAAGTGGCGATGCTATAGTATTGCGACTCGTAGCAGCTTATCTGGAATAAATTCGTCACGGACGGGTAGGTTTTAATTATTAATAACCGAGAAAGGCAAAAGCGATCTGATACAATGCCCGCAAGGTGTCATGATTTGTCCCCGAGTTAATTAGACGGATAATTATGGCATATATCATATAGCTACTAGATACTGAGCAGGTATTATGCCAGGAGTATAAGCTAGCTAAACTGCGTGAAGAGTAGCTGGAGTTTATATAGAGGGATGGAAGCTCGTGTGTATAGGATACCGAATGGCTCAGCCGGAAACTCGCGCGAGTAATATAGGCAGGCCTAGGTATGAGAATCGGGGTAGGATAATATCGGCTGATCGTGAGTGAGGTTAGATAGCGAATCTAAGGGCTTATAATAAGGTAGCTAGAGAGTCGAATTAAGGATAGAGATAATACTTATGATGATAATATCGAAATCGATCTGAAAATATGTTGGAAAGTCCGGGAATTCCCCTTATCTTCAGGATTCAGACTGTTAGTCTGAAAGTCCTAGATTTAAAGTTCAAAGTCCTAGATGAAATCAATTAGAGATATAAACCCGAGAAGAACTCTCATCTCAGTAATGAACAACCAAGTTTCATAAAATATATTTTCACCCAGCACTACTGCGCAAGATAAACAACATTGCTGAGTTCGGAGAACCAGATCCTTCGGCAGGAGAATGACATACTTAGCCGACGTCGACGTGCCAAAAAGAAGATAAACTTGACAGCCTGCTGGGCCACCTTGCTATTTTGTATATTAATTATGCCAAATGGCATTTCAAATCCGGAATCTTATTTTTATTAGATTTGTTTGGCAATTTGTTTGCTTTGGATTGATTTAAGGGCAGCGCTGCGTCAGAAAAGTACCCGGCGTCCTGCGTTCCGTATGAATTCCTCGTCTGTATCCTCTAGTTATCAAAGATCATAGGTCGTGCCGACTTACCACTTCTAGACGGGCAGCTGCGACTGTCGGTATAATTATCGCGTCAATCGATAGATCTCGTCTGGATATCGGTTTTTGTCAGATCAACAAGGCCGTTGAGGATTCTGAACTCGATCTTAAGTTTGATCGAGTAGGCCATCGCCTTATAGGCCGTCTGAAGCTGGTAGTATCCCGCATACTCTAGCCCCAGGATCGGGATATCGACGAGGATGATGATGATATTCATGATAATACGCAGCATCCTTTTGCGAGCCGACTGAGTGCGCCATGTCGAATCGCGGAAGAGCTGAATAGTTGCGTAGATATATAATCCCGAGATTACTAACTCCTGCACGAAAAAGAGGCTAACGGTGATTTTTGCCTGCACAGAATAGACTAACGCAAAGCGTTTGGCATGCGGCGAATGTATGCCGTATATAAAAATAAGACCGAGGACGTGACAGACGACGATATTGGTCAGGATCATAGCGAGAACGAGCCGGAGGTGGCTGGGGTTATGGTCGACGAGATGTAGCCGGGAGTATAGCACGACAGACTGTCCAGTCACCAGGCAGACCCATCCGATAACGATGATAGTGGCATATATGTATGCCACGGAGGGATTAAAGCCTGAGCCTTTTAGGAGCCAAACGATGCAGGTGGGTGGTATCCCGCATGTTGCGATAATGAAACTATTATTTCCTTATTTAACGAGGTCCTTCAACACTTCGAGCACATCTTGATTACTCTCGAAGGCGACGGTCAGCAGCGCAAGCGGAAGGAAGGATACATTGGGGCATATGGGTGTCCGTGGGATACCCTGCTTGGCTATGAATACCTCCTTGGCAAAATGGAGGTATATAAGGCTGCTGCCCATCGATATCCCGATCCCGAGCACTTCAAGGTTAATATTAACTTCTGTTGGAAAAAGATTGACAAGTACTACTCGCGGCTTGACGAGACGCCGGTTTATTATGCCGCCATTGCACGTCACCCAGCGTATCGTTGGGGATATTTCGAGGAGGTGTGGACGGACCGCCCAGACTGGATCCAAACTGCAAAGTCCCTTGTAGAAGAACTATACCGGTCTCACTACGAGCCGCGAATTATCTCTCGAGATCGAGAACGCGGCGAGCCGGTCACGAAGAAGCGGCGCATATATCGGAATCCCTTTGACGAGTATCGTGAAGAATCTCGTCAGGCCCCGACTGTATTACAACCACCTTCATCGATGACTACCTTGTTGCAAGCCGAGGGCGCGGCTAGCAGTTCTACACATGCTGTTGGCGACGAATACAGCGATTGGTTCCGTGACGTCTACAAGTCCGACCAAAATATCCTAGATCCTATTAGCTATTGGTATGAGAGACGGGAAGAGTATCCACGTCGGTCACAAATGGCTCTCGATGTGCTCTCTGTCCTTCCTATGTCTGCTGATGTTGAGAGGCTCGTCTCAACATGCGGTCGAATGGTTCGAGACGATCGTGCCAGGCTGGACGCTAGTACGATCGGGATGACACAGACGGTGAGATCATGGCATTGCGGAGGCTATATTAAGAGCGCGGAGAAGCTCTTGAGGATGTAAAGGTGCCAGGGACTGATCTGTTAGCTGAAATGAGCTTTGCGGATGCCCGGGAGGCAATGGGTGGGAGGATCACGTGTACTGTCCCTTTATAGCGTCCACGCATTTCCATTTCCACGTCCATCCATTCCACGGGCCCACTCTTAGCGTCCATTTCCATCCATCCCATCCAAGGTGGGCCTAGATGGACGTCCATCCATTCTACAAGAGGCTGCGTGGATGGAAATGGAATGGACCGCCAGCCTGATCGCAAGTCTCGGAATGGGTGCGTCACTTGCAAGAAGCGCCACATCAAGTGCGACGAAAAGGTTATTATTGTTGCCTTCATCATAATCTACCGAGCGGTTCTCTAACTCTTTTGCTGTGCTAGCAACCGAAATGTTCCAACTGCCATATCTCTGAAAGAGAATGTAGCTACGTAGCCCCCAAGAAAGCAAAAGTGGGCGCTTCCCCGTACGAAATCGAGCATACAGCGTAAGCAGGGGGGTTGAACTGGGTGATGGGAACCCTACTATTGTCTAGTAGGCCATAGTTGTTAGTACTGAGGTAGTCTCAGAGCCATGTGTCAAGCCGCACCGTCCAGGTGCCCTGCCCATGTCTGTGTTTTTGCTACCGTAGACTGTGTCGTCAACTTTTTCGGCGATTCACCAAGATCAGTGACGCTATAACACTTTAAGGAGTAGTCCTGGGAGACGATCCCCCACATCACCGCCCGACTCTATCTTCCAAGTGTCGTTAGCGCCGAAGCAAGCATCCTGCCTTTACAATAAGGCCACATTCCAGACGGCAGACCCACTATGCTTGCGTAATCCCAGGTATTTGAAACGTCTGCTTTGCTATTCGATTTCGAAACACAACCTATTATTCTACACCTTCGGATTTATGACCCACGTTTAAACAACCATGACGCGTCAAGATTACAGTAGTTCGTCACTCGAGGTAGGCAGTCTGGAAGTGGTATTACGCAACTGAATACCAGGATGCAGCTTTGCCTCAACGTGAAAACCACCCACATCACGTCTTATTCACTTCCAGCAAGGCAAATATAGGGGCTTTACATAGATGGCTCATCAAGAGGGTGAGGGGTATATAGTGCCATTCGAATTCTTTCAAGCTTGGTCTTTGTAGGATACAAATTCAAGTCGTCTTATCCTCCCTTAATTGATTTCTATACCTTCTTCAAACACACAGTCAAAATAATTCTTCGATTCTGCACCATGGTCAAGCTTACCAGTTTCGTTGCTGCCGCATTAGTCATGGGGGCCTTTGCTCATCCAGGTGCACACGAGGAAGACACCCTCGATCCCATGGCGAAGCGAGCATTCTTGGCTCAGTCGCGTCGAGGCCTTGAAGCTTGTGCCAAGCACCTGGAAGCACTTGGTACCACCAAGAGGGCAGAAGCTCATCGTCATGCACTTGTTAGTAAGCATCTAAAGAGAAATGCTAATGAAGGTATGAAGTCCCGGCATTTCAAGACACAGACCAGGGTACTAAGTAGCATACGTAGGGAAGCCTCTTGATACTCGCGACACCGACATGGTCCTTGCAACAGATCACCATTCCAACTTAACTGGAATCTCGCTTAATACAGACTCCAATGTCTTCTTTACCAACACCAGCTGCATTTTGTCCCCCGATGGTGAGATTGGACCCTTTTGGGTTAAGGGCGAGCTGTTGCGCGAGGACCTCATTGATGACGAGCCTGGTGTTGTCAACTATATGCACGCTCAATTCATCGATATCAAGACTTGTGAGCCAATGCAGGGCCTCTACTGGGATGTCTGGAACTGCAACTCGACTGGTGTCTACTCTGGGGTTCAGGACAGCAGTAATGGAAATGGCGACGACGCTTCCAACCTCGACCGCACCGCTCTTCGTGGTATTCAAGAAACAGATCAAGACGGCATCGCTGTATTCAAACCCATCTTCCCAGGTCATTACAGTGGACGAGCGACCCACGTTCACGTCGTCGCCCACGTCAATGCCACTCTGCTCTCGAATCAGACCCTCTCAGGTGGTAGGGTTTCACATATCGGTCAGCTTTTCTTCGACCAAGATCTTATCACTCAGGTTGAGGCCACTTATCCTTACAACACAAGCGACGTTGATATTACTCTAAACTCAGAGGATCGCGTCTTTGGCCTAGAGACTGAGGATAGTGATTCAGATCCTGTGTTCAAATATGTCTTTCTTGGCGATAGCATTGAGGATGGAATTTTCTCCTGGCTCACTATCGGAGTCAACGCAACTGCTACATACTCCACCAGTTATGCGGCTTATCTGACTAAGGATGGAGGTGTTTCTAACAGTAACTCCGAGGGTGCTGGATCTGGCGGTCCCGACGGCACTCCTCCTGCGGGTTCCTTTACGTCTGCCCCTTCAGCATAAGGAGCAGTTCAACGGGCACTTATCTTGTGTGAGAGATTCGTTAATTCAATCTTGAGATCTCGATAGTAGTGGAGTGAGGATTGGCGTTGTTAGCGCGATATTTCAAATTTGATCAATATTTATATTTGAGAAAGAACGGCTTGATCAAAAAACCTTGAACTCTAATTCACTGACTTCGCTAATCTTGCGGAATGATGCATTCACTTTAAGTTCCTATGAGACACCGATATTGCCATTAGGGTCCAAACTGTTCTGTCTATCCTTTACCTTCTACAGTTACGTTCCGGCATTCATGTCGTGCTTAATGTACCGCAATAGAAAGAGATACTCAAAAATCCTTGACATTAGTGCCAGGCATCGAACTCTGCTCCAGGCACAACCTCGCTCTCCATCTATTTGTACGTTGCGATAGATTAGTCTGCTCTATGAGCAATATTCTATCGAAGGGAGTTACTAAAATGATCCAGATATCCGTTGAACTTGGCTTAATGACTCATTCGCGCGCGTTCATATTACGTTGCGTACAAACCTGCTCCTTAGAGGGTTTGTCATTTCGACGTGTCATCTTGACGTATCCCTGCTTGCGCGCGACGCTCCAGCTCCTGTTAAACACTTGGATGAGCCAAACTTATGAAAGTGCTAATCAACGTGTTCCATATACTTAAGGGTGGCTAACAGTGCGAGTCGTGAGTCCAGCTGAGATTGGCGAGAATTCTCTCAGGTACCTGTACCGGTAGGCTTCAGCTCACGCCCGGGAGGTCGCCTACATCATCGAAACATGGCTTGACCTCTACAAAACAAAGCTCGTGAAAGCTTGGGTTGATCGGTATCTTCACTTTGAGAATGTGGTTACATCTCGAGGCGAGGGTATTCATCAGCTCATCAAAGTGTATCTTGATACTTCCCAGCTAGATCTCTTTGAGGCCTGGAGGGCTATCAAGCTGGCGATACTTAACCAAGTAGCTGAGCTCCGAGCAAACCAGGTGAAGCAGCAAATCCGAACACCCATAGAACTCTCAGGGAGTCTATACAGCATCATACGAGGCTGGGTATCTCACGAGGCATTGCGGAAGGTTGAGGCGCAGAGAAAGCGGCTCCAACAGGACAGACTCCCTGCCTGCACAGGAGTCTTCTCATCAACGCTTGGGCTCCCTTGCGCTCACACAATTGAGCCTCTTCTACAACAAGATCATCCGCTTCAACTACACCACTTCCATACGCATTGGCATCTTCAACGAGAAGGAAACCCTCAATTGCTCATAGAGCCCCGCCGTCAGTTCGATCAGGTGCCAGCTACGTCAACATTGCCGAAGACTAGCACTCAGCGCGAGCCATGTGCATTTGAGATCGTCGAACAAGCATCACAGACGAGAGCCAACCCCAAATGTTCAAGATGTCATACACAGGGCCACAGGATGAGCTCAAAGGCATGCCCATTGCGATATGCGCATCTTGTATCTCCCTCAGCTTCTACAGCGCCCCCAAATACGCTGCCGCCATCGACTACACCAAGTTCGGCTCAACAGCCAGTTCCCGATCCATCCTTATGCTCAATTTTGCCACAGCAGCAGGTAGCGCCGCCAGCGGCGCTATGTGATCAAGAGATGGTGCCGTCCCCGCCAGATATAATAGCACTGCCATCCTCATCAGCGGATGTACCTCCACCACCAGATATGCCGCCATCGGTACCAGCGTCGGGGCCAGACATACGCTATGATGACCCTCGTGCTATATATGATCGATATGTTGCAGCACGGATGGCATGGTATAACAAGCTGCCTCGAGGTAGCTTAAAGACTAACCAGGAATATCGAAAGGCAATGGGCCTCCCTCAACGCTACGATAAGACAAGTTACAGCTGGTGTTTGGATTATAAGCAGATGGGTAAGCGATGCACATCAACGATACCTGGACGGGAGTGGACTAAGGAGGAGATGATGTCGTACTTGGATTGGACCAGGGTAGAAGATGAACGTGTGGAGAGGCAAGTCGCCCAGGAGATGGGCGACAACCCTCTGGCGAACAGGCGAAGAGGGTTGAGCAGGACATGATCGACCAACAAGCTCTGTACTCGAACGATAACCAGGCTGAAGACTGTATCATAGTTACTGCCTAGATTATTATTAACGCCTACATTACTTATATCCCAATTATGGCACCGTGAGAAAAAATCTGTATAGCAGTTCGTCATCTAGAGATTAGAAGCAATACAATAAAATACAATAGGCTGGCTGGCATACAAGGGTGTTGGTTGGTTGGTTGGTTGGTTGTATTCCTACTCGGTTTTAGCCGCTTTTTAACAGCAGCCATGCCCGGCTAGTGGGGTTTGGCCGACAGCCGAGACGCACCGAGTATTCATCCGTGCCGCCCCACTTCGCCAGACATCAAACGATATTTGGCCAGCTGTCTCCAAACTTCCCACTTTCTCCTCCTCCCTAACTTCTATCTACGTCGGCCGGCCAGCTTCCATAGATCGTGGTTTGAGATACTAATGTACATGTGTGTTTTGCCTCCAGCAAGGCGGACTGTCCGCCTCGTGTGCGGGTCCTTTCTACCTACAGTCTCCCCCCAGTGCTCAGCTTTGTCTGGTCAGGAACTGATCCTGAATTGCCCAAGGATCTGGGTTTGCTCCATAAATTTGACGACTTTTGCTGCTACTTTGCGCTCGCTCAGCAGTGTTCGAAGATTTTGACGTCCTGGACATTGTCCTAGTTCCAGGTTTCGGAGTGCAGAGTGCTTCCTGCACTGGAGCAGAATGTGAGCCACTGTCTGTCGCCCTTCTCTGCAGTCGCATCCCGGGTCCGTGAACCCTGGTACTCTTTGTCTGAAGAGGAAGTCATTCATCCCGATCTTCTCGGTGCGAAGTTGAGTGTATATGGCGCTCTGCCTCTTGGCGAAGTGCTTGTGTGGCTGTAGTACTCTCGGTGTTGGTTCTGGTGTGTGCCGGAAGGTTGCCCTACCCCTAGTTTCCTGATGCCATTGTGCTTGCCATCTCCTGTTGACAACTCTGCGCGACCACATCTTCAGTGTGGCTTTCAATGAGCGTAATATTGGAGGCTGCTGTGCCCTTGGACCTGGTGGTCCTCTCTGTCTCCATCCCGTGGCTTCCTTGGCTGCTCGATCGGCAGCTTCGTTACCGTATATCCCCTTGTGGGCTGGAATCCATCGAACCTCGACTGGTAAGCCTTGCGCCCGCAGTGTCTGTATCCTCTGTGTGATGTCTTGGAGAAGGTAAGATCCTGATTTACCCCTTGGCCTCGCTACCGACCTAATGGCTGCTTGGTTGTCTGTGTAGATCATGACTTTCGTTCTGACGTTGCCTTGATCTCGATCTTGTTGAGCGATCTGGAGAGCTAAGGAGACCCCCTGAAGCTCACCGGCGTATACTGTCGATACAGTGTCTTCACCCATATAGGCGCTCTTGGCTTGATTGGTGGTGGTACATACTGCTGCTGAACCCACGTGACCGTTGATACGACTTCCGTCCGTGTATATGTGTATGGCGTCAGGCTCCTTTTCGATGCTGTGCTGGTGCCTTGACCGTGCTTTCTCGGCATTCTCCCCGATGAACGTCTTCGGGCCTATCCACCATGGGGCGACGACGTACGGGGTAATTACCTCTAGTTCCTTGAGACTGAATCCTTGTTCTTCTTGTATGGCCTTCTGTATCGCTCTGCGTGGGCTCATTCTGATGTTCCGCTCTCGTATGCGGTTTGCGCGACGTTGTTGTTCCTGTTCCCCAAGGGTTTCTGTCCCGAGGGTGATTCTTCCTAGACACTCGGCGTTGTGTTTCCAGATCTGGTGCTCGACGGGAAGGAGATATGTCTCGACATCCAGGGCTGGAATTGATGTGGCTTTGAAAGCACCAGAAATTGCCCTGGCCGCTCGCGCCTGTAGACGTTGTAATTGCTCCAATGTCTTGTGGGTGTACGGCGTGTTCCGTGTTTTCCAGTTGGCGTTCGACCACGCGGAGCACGCGTACATGATCTGCGGCAGCACAGCACCCCGATAGATGTTTCTCATGTCATGGAACGTAAGGCCCCAGGTCGAGCTTCCCAGGCTATGGAGAGCTGAGATCGTCCTTGTCGCCTTCCGCTGTACCTCATCTAAATGGGGTTTCCATTGTAGTGCAGAGTCCAGGATGAGCCCCAGATACTTGCAAGTCTGCTTTGCGGGGATCTCACCCCATGTTGTGTGTAGCGGATGCTGTGTGTCTATTCTCGTCCGTGCTCTAGTGAAGTGTATCAGCTGGAATTTACTTACAAGGGTGTTGGGCTTACATAACTCCCTTACAGACGCACCGGGTGCGCAACACGTGACACTTACGTGCGCATCCAGGTGCGCACCTATTGGCGCCCCCCGGGTTTCAATAGCGCGGTTTTCATTTATATGGTATTTTCTACGACCTAGCCGGGCTGGGTCGTTGCTGACTTGTAGTGAGGCTCGGGCGAGTTGAGGTGCAGGCCAATGTGATCAAGCTCAGCAAGTTTTTCTAACGAGAGTTGGCTATAAAGCCTTGCGTAAGTAGAATACTCGTCGTCTGGCATCGTTATCAACCAGTTGATATAGAAGCACTAGCTAGGAAGGAGGATACGGATGAGCTAGAGGTCAATTGGTTTCTACAGGGATGGCACGGGACATCGGGACAGAAAACGCGACGCGTTTTAAGTTGCAGCTAAACGTCGTTAAACAATAACGCGCCCCGTTTTGAGCCCCCAAATGGGAGTAGAAATCTAAAGGCTCTGATTGGCCCAAAAGACGAAACGCGGCGCGTTTTGATCAAGAATACTTGAGTAGAATATTACCTCATTCAAGGTTGATAACTAGTTTATCCTCTCCACGCATCTGTCTCCAGCGGTTCGTTGACTCAAGTACCGTTTCACACCCCTTCAGCAAGAAACCCCATTTTCTCACAAATCCCTCACTTACTTCCCATCCATGTCCACTCCATGGACTATCCCATACCAAGAAGCCACATCGTTCAGTATCATCAAAGCCCTCATACACCCTCAGCCCCAGGTCAAGGAGAAGCTCACGAGGATTATATCTATCGGCCATAAGAATGAGATTATCACGGAGGCCTGGGAATGGGATAGCATTGATCCAGAAAGGAGCGGATACTACGCGCTGTATGTGCGTTGGTTGGAGATCCTCTGGAATTCGGTGCTGTGCCACAAAATTGATTTTGGAAACGCCGAACGCGTTTTGGCAACCTGGCGGGAGATGGTGTAAGGTTGAAAGAATGCTCATGTTTTGTATGATGGCTTGGACAACATTGTACTGAACAAGTGTGATGAGGCAGTGGTCTGCCGAAAGTGGAAATACAATTGGGTGAGGTGATTCTCCTGGTGCATTGAGTGTCGAATAAGGTAGCAGTGGCGGTATAAGTTCCCCAGTATCCAATGAGGGTAGATCGTGGTGTCTTGGGCTCATTACCTCAACCCTCTGTGGATGATTCGAAGAAGAGCTGGGATGACTTGATTGATCTGGCTTCAAACTAACCAGCATCCCATAGCCTTCCCATTTCTGACTCTTCCAGTCTGCAGGGGCGTTTAAACGGTCAATAGCTCGTTTTCTATCGCCTAAAGGTCCATCAGAAGGGTCCCAATGTTTCACTCTATCGCTGAAGAGTCCAACTTACGCCATGCTCTCTGTCTTAGTCGATTCTGCCTCCTCTTTCTCTCGGCTACGTCAGTAATGCCGCTCCAATCATACTTATTGCAATTCATCCCAAAATGGTTATGCTGACAATGCTTGATGCTCGGGACAACAAGAAGACCGAGTTTGCCCTGGCTTAGAAATCGTCCAGTTGGTCCGAGGACGACGACGAAGCGGATGTGGCTGGGGACTGATTAGCTAGAGATTTCAAGGCATTAATTAAATGATTACGTTGTGAGTGAGATGTTGCTGAAATGAAGGCTGCTTACTCTTTGCGGTTGGGGTCGTCAGCTGCAAGTGCGTTACGCGCTAACACAAATCCGGATTGGCAAGGGTTATATTCGAGACACGATGTAGTATTACCAATCTTCAATATATACTCTCATAGAGTAGATGCAAGGGACCTTGCTCAAGCCACGTATGTACGAGTTCAAGGAAGAGAACATATAATACCCGGAAATCCTCGACTTGAAAATGAGCCCTTACTTTAGTCTAAACATTTACATGCCAGACTCAACAACCCCACATATTCCTATAATACCAGATCCAGCATCTCGACTTCTTTCATTAGAATAAACATCAATCATGCCTCAGGAGAAGCCAACTATTGCATGCTTCGGAGCTACCGGCGGGTGCGTAGCCGCGGCCTTAACAAGCGCACTGAAAGATGGCTTCTATTGCACAGCTCGTACGCCCTCAGCTTCACTCCTCCAGGATGGCTTATAGCTAACTATGTCCAGTTGCGAGGACCCCAGAGAAGCTGCGCAGTATCTTAATTGACGAGCACAAAATCCCGTTGGCCACCATCAACCAATATCTTACGATCTACGAAGGAGATATCAAGGATCCAGCCATCGTCCAAAAAGCTCTTATCAGCCCAACTCACACCGCCTCCGTTGTCGATTTTATTCTGAGTGGTGTTGGCGCCTATCCAACTTTCCAATGGAGCCTCATGAGACCCTTTCCACTCACAGATCCTACCATCACCGAAGATGCTATGAACACCATATATGCCGCTCTGTCCAGCCTTTCTGCCTCTTCTATCACTAATACGAGTGCCGGACAGAAACCTCTTCTAGTGGCAATTAGTACGGCAGGCTGTGGGCGAAATAGAGGGATTCCCTTACCAATTTACCTTCCGTACCACTACCTTCTTGGGGGACCTCTGGCCGATAAGAAACGCATGGAAAAGGTGATCATGGCAGGGAAGAACGATTATATCCGGGATTTCGTTATCATGCGGCCATTGATTTTGACAGATGGAGAGGCGAAAGGTGAAAACCAGCTCAGAGTAGGCTGGGAATGGGGCACTGATGATGGAAAGGGTGAATGTGAAGAGCCAGGTCCCGAGATTGGTTATTTTGTCAGTCGAAAGGATGTTGGGAAGTGGATGTTTGATAACGTCGTCGTTCAGGGTGGCTGGGAAGGGAAGTGTGTGTATTTGACCTAGGTACTATTAAGAGGCGATTGAACAGTAATCGCCTAATAAATTGGGTTATCTCGCTTAGAATTTGGACTTGAATCGGTTGGGCTTGGGCCGAGTTGCTGATTGGCTTAAAATAACCCCAACTCCACACTTGGGGTTAGCTAGTGTGAGCTTGGGGTTAGTATAATGCAGAGGAAAGGGGACTTTAGTTAATAGAGAAAAACAATAAGACTTCTTCTCTCTTTACTTTCTATTATTAAGATTAAAGAGGCGATATTAAATAACAATGGAGGACATCGTACAGCTCAATCAGGATTATCAAATACTCATCTGCCGGCTATGTCAAGCAGCCGTTCGGCCCGGCAGCAGCATTGAGTCACATTTTCGACGGCAGCATCAGCTCAAGGGACAAGTGCTCAAGGATATCATAGACTACTATGGTGCACTAGAACTAGCTGACCCGAAGCGTATTGCAGCACCAGAAGATAACGGCCTCTGACCCAACCTAGTGCTCCATACCAAAATAAATTCTACGTAGAATTCATTTGTTTTATGTCAAGCAACCCAGGGTAGAATTGATTTTTACAGGGGGGTAGAATTTAATTTCTAGACCCACCTGACAGGGAGTAGGCTTGAGTTTCACAGGGGGTAGACTTCATTTATGCTAGGGTAGACTTCATTTAGACCAGGGTCAATTAAGACGCGTAGTTGGTGAGAGGGCGCGAGTATGCGTAATTCACAGTGTACATTTACTAGTAATAATCTTCTTAAATAGTTTATAGAGATCTTCCCCTTAACCAAGACCGAGATATAGGGAAGCATATACCTAATCGCAGTATAACAAGTTTCTTGCTAATGAAGACAATGGACCCTAGTAAGCAGTCTCAATCGTCCAACCCAATCTACCCATTCGTTATTCTTCCAGATTATCAACTTCTAGTGTGCAAGTTATGCGGATTTGCAACCCTACCTAACGAGGTCAACACACACCTCAGGACACAACACAACAACATTTCTCTGGAATGTCGGCGCAGGTTGGTAGAGCAGGTCAAAGAAATCCCAAATCTTCTCCAAGGCCAAGCTAAGCTTCGACTACCACGCATACCGATTGAACCGATTTCTTGCCTTGCTGCACCGAGATTGGACGGACTGAAGTGCCGGACATGTGGACGTATGTTCCGCCAAGCCCAAAAGATGAGGCTCCATTGTACGAAGGAGCACCTCTGGAAAAACCCACGAGACAGAGGAAGGCCAATATCAGGTGTGGAGCCGTCTGCTGAGTTGCCATGGATCGAGGGCGTCGCCTGTCAACGGTTCTTCCCTTCTCGGGAAGGTAGTAGATGGTTCGAGGTCCTTCGAGAAACTGGAAAATCGAAGAAGGGAGCGAGACTTGCAAAATCATCTCGGCCTGATATGAGCCAAGATATCCGAAGTCTGAACTGCGAGGCGCGCGCCCATCTAAGTGATGTATTAGAGCGAGAGGAGAAGTATTTTGACCGGATGAATCAGCCACACATGAGTGCCAAGGACTTGGGCAGCCATGCTCTTGCATCTACCGGTCTATGGCCAGAGAGAACTCAATGGCGGGTCATCTTTGAAAACGCTCGACGTGATATCTTTCAAGCAATGACGCGGTTACCAAATCGACATTCATTGATGTCAGACTATGTTATGGCACAAGGATGCCGGCAAGGAGACCTGTGTGTTAGGAGCTCCTACGTGGATGAACAGAAAATATCATGTACCATGAAGGTGTTAGACTTGGTGATAGATCGCTGCGAGAACACAGTCCGTTACACCAGTCGCACCCTACTCTTCTATTCCCAATTGTCGTGTACCCCTAATTGTCGCGTACCCCTGCCCACTTCGTACGTATATTTCTATCTCCAGTCCATTCCCATACACCCATACTATGGCAACTTATCTTTCCCGTTTTGATCGGCGGTCTGCGGGCGTGTTACTCACATGTGTGAACGCATACTTGAGCTTTCTTACATTATGGACACTTCCTACTGTAATTTTCATCCGAGATTTATTTTAGTGATCCTTAAAAGCTGATTCTTTACAAGGACTAGCAGAATATAACCGCCTTTCACTGTGGAATTTGAAGCTCTCTTGTACTACGATCCTTCTTTGCGTATTATTGTCTCAAAATAGTGTGGTATAATACTGCAAAATAATATCGGCTAGCATATCTGAGAACACTAGAACTCAATGCGTGCCTTTTACGTCGCTGCTATTAAGCGATATAAAAGAAGTTTTGACTATCTACCTCTCGTATAGGGTCCCCGGTGAGCTATCTAGCATAGTGCGATTATTACCGATCGCCTGTCCGATTCATCCCTTGGTATTCTCTATAGTGGAATCTGCTGTCTACTTTATTGGGATTATTGATACCAGTACCTATATCTGCCTAGGTCGTATAGCATTAGAGGATTATTTTCAAAAGGTTCATAATTAACTATTGCGCTAACCTGAGCGTCGACAAATTGGAGAGGTTGGAGAGATTAAGGCTTCGGTCTAGACCGGATTGGTCCGGACTCCAGTCACTTGCCAAACCCTTTTTTACGGCTTACGATGTAGGTATGGCAGAGGTATATGGTTTCAGGTTCGCTATCTCCATTGGCGGAGCTGCACAACTTCCGCAACCTTAGTCAAAAGGTGGCAAAACTTGAACCGTCTCCATTCGTCCTAGATCTCGTCTAGGTATTTCGTACATTCGTTAGTTAACCATTCACGTGTTAGCCAATTTTAGGGTTAGCGAAGAGAGCTTTATGTATCGGAATGCAATACTTGAGGTTAAAATATGCTTTAAATCTATGGTATACAGAACTTCAATCTCGAATTAATCTGTTTTCGGTTGACAGATGCAACACCAAGCCAATATACTTTTTGTCGGACAAGTTGCATGGTCCGCTAGTCGATGGAGATTATGCTGATAGAACATCATCTTCTCAACTCTTCCCGCTTTAGAAAAGGCAAGAATTCAAGTAACGATTGCGTTGTTCAGGATCTGAAAGTACCTCGTATGCGGCCTGGAGCTTCTTAAACTTCTGAGTTTTCTTGGGGTTATCGCCACTTTTGTCCGGGTACCATTTTAATGCTAAAGCACGATAATAGGGGGCTAAAATCTCATCAATGTTCTCTGAAGTTCTAGGATCGAGGCCAAATATCTAGAAATATCCTTTTGGATCACCGAATGATAGCTTCGTTGTGGTTGGCTTCGTGGTCAATGATGGGGGCAATTCTTCCAAGCGCTCGATGTATGCTCGCTGTTGGCGAACCAGAGCGATCAAAGACTCTTTGGAAAAGGATTCCAGTTCATCGCAAACTCCTCCAACGCCAGTTGTAGCACCAACGCGAGATTGGAAACTAGACGGTCTGGCGTTTTTGGTACTTGTACGGTAGCTTGCCTTAATACCGAACAACTCTCTTTTCTGTATCCAATCCAGTTGGCTTAGTTGAACTAGCAAATGAAAAACAAGTTTTATTGATTCGCGGTTTCTTTTTGCATAATCATCGCCCATGAAGCTGGGTTTGTTGGGCAGCGCCACGACTGCCACGTTGAGGCGTAAGAAACTCAGTAAGATCTGCACAGTCTCAGCTTGGTAGTGGTGAAGTAACATAGATAGTCCTCCATCGAAATCGATCTGGCCGTACAGCGGCTGCATGCGAAATATACTCCGGATTGTGGAATTTCGGATGAAAAGATCATTCTGGGGTGTTCCCCCTTTTTCCGTCGCATGCTTGATAAACGATCCGGGAATCAAGTCTTCCACGAACTCTGACTCGTTCAACAAGAAGCCTTCGTTGTAAGCAGAGAATGCCGCGGCGACGGAGTCGATATCAAAACTATAAAGCAGCTTTAAGACTTTAACTCTAGCGGCGGTGGAAATGGCTTCCTCATCAGATCTAACTATATCCAGGGCCAGATAAGCGAGCAGTGAAAGTCGGAAATTGATGTGAGCACTCTCACTCCGTGGAAGTTTCAAATGTCTGGTCTGAATTCCAGCACTCTGATACATTCTGTCTGTGTATATTTTCGTCTGATGTCTTGACTCTGCATTATTATCTCCATTTAAAGCCTCGAGGATGTCGGCATATAATAGGTGGTGTTCTCTGAGGAAGTTCAAGCGCTCCTCCGCAGGCGTGATATTTAGGCCATAAGAGTTCAAGCATATGGTATAATCAAATTCGAAAAAATAACGTAATGCAGTAAGACTATAAGGGATCCTGAAACGAAATGGATTATAGCGACCCAATATCTTCTCATCATTCTTTTTTCATGGATAAAATGAAATCCTTTCGGATCCGAGATGCTCCATAGGATATTGTTGAATGTTGGAGGGTTCACCCTCAACTTCAGGATTAAGGTTCAGGATTAAAGTTTGAAGTCCTAAACTTAGATCGTAGGACTTTCATCTAGGACTTTCTAGGACTCAAGTCCTAGAAGGAACCAGTCGAAGATAAGGTCTCAATAGTCCTTCGATTGCGACAGAATCAAGAAATATACACGATTCACCTTAATATCTGACAGATATGGAGATTTGCTGCTTTTCGGTTCTCTCTGTGGATAATTGTCTTCAATGAGGGTACGGACCGCAGCGATGTATTTTGTATTAACGACTTCTGAAAGATCCCAATCAATATGCTCGTATGCCATTTTAATGCGTCAAAAGAGAATAACTAGTGTCGAACTTACTTGGGTCTTCAGAGTGATAAACCAATCCGAGTTTTTAGACAGAGGCGAGAAGGTTAGTGTCGCAGCCCAACATGAGGTTAGGAACGGCCCTGACATGGCATAGGTACCGGACCTGCATTCCACCAATGGGTACGATTGAAAGAGCGCTAGCCAAACACGCTCCCCTCTTTTCGATATACCCGTTGACTCATGCCATTGTGAAAGCGGTCTTGCTATTGGCCTATTCTGTAGAATGTCACTTTTAATATCGTGGGTCGTATCTGGGCCAATTGCCGTACCCCACGATCATTTCAAAGAATAAACAGAAAAGATTACAGCCTCATCTTTTAGTAAAGTTTGACGTTTGAAAGTAAGAAGAGAAATTTTGGAGTTTTCGAAGTACGCGGTGTAAAACTGCGCCTTTTTGATCGCCAACTGTCAGCCAAGTGTTCATAGTGCAGTGCCTAGTTCTTGTTAGTGCTAACCATATCGCCTATTGGCTGAAATTACCTCAACTTGCGGGGTAAAGGATTTTCTACAGGCGTTACGAAGGAACGGGTTCATTAGTCAACACACAAGGTGAGCTTAAGCCAAGCTGCCATCGAATGGCTGTGGTGTTTCACATTTGTGTATTGCATTACAAAGCCATGACTAACGCTTACATGAACGCAAGGCGATGCGGTCAAAGAATCGCATATCAGCGCTGACTTCAATTCAAGTAAGTCAAGTTCGGGGGTGTAACTTGATTACTTGAAATAAAATCGTCCGTGAACTTACTTAACTTGAATTGAATTGATATACTTGAATTGAAAGCGCTGACCTGAGGCCAGGATAAAGCTATTGGTACTCTCACGCCTCCCCTCCATCCCAGCCCATCAGGTCCCCACCAAAGCTGACGACCTCGCCCACAGTGATCGCTTGATGGCCTAGCCAATTCCGTAGACACTGTATTTCCTCTATTATCTCGGGGCTTAAGCTGTGCCTTTGCGAGCTTATTGTCAACTTTGTGACACTAAACGTCCGCTCAGGATCGACAGACATAGCAGGAATTGCCAGGATGTCGAGGGCAAACTTGCTCAAACGTGGATATTCTTCTTGGTGTTCCTTCCACCATAGAATGGGGTTCAAGTTCTCTCGCCGGACTGGCCCTTGCCTCATATAAACTCCAAGCTCATCTTCTTCCTCCATCATGTACCGATCGTAGCTCTGCATCCACTGGTCGAATTGGCTGGGCTCGTCTTGCCGCATCGCTTTTCCTATCATGGTTCTCGCTGCCTCAGACTGCTCCTTACGGGGATACTGTTGTTCAAAGAATTCCCGGACACTGTTCTTAGCATCCCGTAGCCACACTAGTTGCTCGTGGCTAGTCCAGTTAGCCTCAAGCCAAGACACGTTCCAGCGCGGGTGTAGAATAACGGCAGCCGGGTAAAGTGGCGATTGGCCAAGTAGACTGTAATACTCGTCAAGTTTTGACCAACAGTTATTGATAGAGATTTGTATGCATCGTCGGTGGTCATCATCAAGACTCTCAGCTTGCGAGAATGCACCGGTATATTCGTCTCGAGTGTGCTGTGGCAAGTGTTTCTCGCGTCCGCGACCCTGGTCAGCTCGTGGAGGACTACATCCTGCGAAAGTCTTAGTAAAATAGACATAAGAAGAGCGAATATGAACTGGAAAGCTGTACTCGTGGTTGCCGAGGCTCTGGCAATCTGTAGCTCATCAGCAGTGCCATCCGGGGGCGAGAATATCAGCTTTTGCTCCTCGAAGAAGTTGAGCAAATATTCCATTCCGATCATCACTTCCCACAAGGCGCCGTAACGGCCTTCTTTAGCCCAGCCCTGGCACCTCATGGTGATCTCGTAGAGTGGTTTTAGTAGACTCTGTATCTCCGCCAAGAGAAGCCAGTCCTGCTGTGAAAGGTGATCTTGGACAGGCACCCGTTGTCGGGGCTCTGCTGCCTTCATGTCGAGATATGTGATGAAATGGTCAATCTGCTCTCGTTTTCGAATTGCACGCTGGATCATCATAAACGTCGAATTCCATCTGGTTTCATTGTTCTGCATCAGTTCGAGATCGATGGCAGCTCGGTCCTCCTCAAAGAGGTGATAATCGTCTTCATCGCGCTGGCTGCATGCCAGAGATTTCATCAACTCTCGCCGTTGCGGAGAAGCCCTGACGAACCGGACGATGTTATGCAGCTTGCCCACTGCTCCCCGTTTCCGCCAAAGTCGAAGCTCACGCTCTTCAACTTGGAAAGACGCCTCGGTGAAGGCTTTTCGCTCAAACGAGTCAGGATCTTCCCCCCAGAGGAACGCTCGAGCTGCAAGGTTGACAATATGCCCAAAGCACCGTGTTCGATTGTTTCTAATATCCTCCTCGGCCATCGCAGGAGAAAGTTGACGATAGAGGCTCGCCAAGCATGTGTCATTGGACGAGACATTATCGCAGACACCCGCGCCAATCCGATCTCGTATCCCGTACTCGCCGAAGATGTCATATATTGTCGTTGCTTGGTTATCTCCGGAATGTGCTCCCCACACACGGCGCAGGGCAAGAAGTCGCGATTGGACTTGATAGGAGGCGTCGAGATAGTGAGCGTGGAGGCCAAGGAAAGCGTACCGGTTTGGAGAAGTCCACATGTCAAAGCTAAAGCTAATCTTTGTGACTGCCTTCTCCAATTGACACGATATTGCTCCCTTCTTCACCTCGAATAATTTCCGCATGGTATCACGCACCGACTGCCGGCTCCACGGCACCTCTTTCGCCAATGACGCATCGTGTAAGTCGAGCATTCGTCGCAAGTACGGATTCGACGGCGCCGTGAAAGGAAGATTGGCAGTAACGATCCAGCCGACCGTCAGCTCCTTCGCTTTATTGACATTGGATCTTGCAGTAGGAAGCTCCAGGCAGCGCCGTTTCGAAGGGGGCTGACTGTCAGCGCGAGACGAATCTTCGTACGCATTGCCGTCCGCCTCAGTGATCATATGTGACCTATATCCAGTAAGGCGCTGAAAAGGAATAAATGTCGGACTCATACGCATGTCATATACCTTCGGAGATGTTCAATTGGCGACGTGGTGTTTGTCGCGACGAACAACGAGCTCTTCCCGCGTTCATCACATTTCGAGCAAGCCCAGTAGGTTTGCAACGTCCGCAAATCAGGGCTGACTTCCGTGAGGAAGAATCCGTAGGCTTGAATCCAGCTCCGCCGGCCTTTGCGATTCTTGTTGGCAATATACTCCTCTGGTATATACCTCTTGCAGCCGATCTGAACCGTTGGGAGGTCAGCAAGAGTCGTTCTCCCAGATTCAGACTTGATGGACGCAGCGTCAAGCTGCTGTTTCAGTGATTTGCGCTGACTGCTAATGCCCAGGAGCGTTTCTAGCGACTGCTGTTGTGCTGTCATAGCGGATCATTGGCGAACCGCGGATCGTGGATGCTTCTCACACAGATTTGGGTTCTGAGTCAGCTGCGACACGTCTCGAACACGCGGGCGAACAAAACAATAAATCCGCGACACTCCTACCGTGTCCCTGGATCATCATTGGTGCAATCAGCTCGGGGCCACATTCCGGACCACATCAAATTCATTACCCCACACCTTGGGCCCGACGAACCCCGAAGGGCCTCGTCACTCCCAGGACCGTCGCACAGGAAAACCCATAAAATACAGTATTTCAAGTAAATCAAGTAAATCAAGTTTGAGGCATTATGAACTTACTTACTTGAAACATATAGGGCCGTCAACTTACTTGACTTACTTGAAATACTTGACTTGATACTTGAATTGAGGTCAGCGCTGACTGGCCCTGCTACCCCCAGGGCCAAAACCATTAACAGATACATGGGGAATATCTACAGTACTTCCCAAAATGGACACAATGTCCTGCACGTTCATGACTACCCTACTCCCCCGATTACACCGTACAGTAACTGCTGGATGGGAAGCCAGAGCCTGCCTCGGATGCCCAGACTTCCACCCAATGACGCTATATGCGATCGATACTATGGCTTTGGGACCGCTTCGTAGCTTGATCTAAGTGAAGGTGGGTGGTCTAGTGTCAAGGACTACGTCTTGGTCTCGGTAATTGAAAGAAAGTTTGGGGCCCCTGAGAGGATAATAAATCCTATATGTAGTGTAGGGGCCAGAATGGCGTCGTTTGGAGCAAAGCTGGGTCGTACCGGTATAGTCAAGGCAATGGCATACATGATTTCAGTTCTCACTATTGCATCTTCGGACGTACTGCATGACTACAAATGCTTACTGTACAAGAGCTGTGTTAATATCTAAGTACCGTAAATTACAAACACTGCTGAGGTGCCATGTTGACAGATTAGTAGATTGAGTTGGTTTGGGGGAATTCCAATCCCCTCCGCCCCCTACATCATCTGCCTCTGTTGGGTTGTAATTCTATGATAATTGAGTCCCTACGTCCTATTATATGTGTATCTCACGTAAGCTGCTCATTATTACATATTACACCACTCACCTGATGTTGATGACGTGAAGTTGTTAGTCTTGAGATCGGGCCACACAGCTCTCCAGTGTTAGTAGAGAATGTACTGTGAGAACATTGACAGTTCTGGAAATGGAGTCATTGTGAAGAGATTATATAAGGTCTAGGAAGATATCTATACCACCTATATTAGTTTGGTATTGCTTTGGTACGTCGACGCATCTGCCTAGTAGCTAGGGTCTTGTCTAGAATCCGTGAAGTGATGCCACCCAATCGATGTCTGCCTACATTACCAGTAACCCTGTGATTGACTGATATGAGTGCGCGTCCGAGGGTTTTCTCTTCAATAGTGAGACTCTGTTGACTACAGCAACCCAAATGTCGGGCAAAATAAAGGCAAATCAGTTAATATGCATAAATATGCTCAAAGCGGGGATGGTAGGATACCCAGATCAGTGGTGCGATGAAACGATCTCGTATGGCGACTAGCCCCATAGCTTAGGTCTTATTTTAGTTGTGAACTCCAGATGGAGCCGAGGTGGATCTTTCACTGATTATCCCCTCAACCGCCGACGATATCCGCAGTCAAGCTGAAACTCCATTCTTTACCTTCACCCCTTGTTCTGTTTATGTTATGACACTTCGATAGTTTATTTAATCGTGGAGACCAAGGAAAAGAGGTATTCTTTTCTGGCGGATTTCAACGTTTTTTAACATCACACTTCTACATCTCATAACAAAATAAGCCACGACCAACAGTCTCAATCAGTACTTGACAAATGCTTCTTGAGCATCTACCAAGTTGCGTCCGATCGCCAGCACCTAGCACTCATTCTAGCAGCCCCCGACTTTTTTGTTTCACGCTGTGCAGGAAGACGTAAGATTCCAAGGGTGATGTGAAAATAAAAAGTGCTCAATAGTGAAAACACTGTTTCTGCCTAGTCCAAATGTGGACAACAGTTCGGCATTGTGAGTGTGTCACAGTATGTACTCGAGAAGATGGTGGCGACGATTATGTAGCAAGTTGGGAAATAAGCGCATTAGTGATTAGCGCTCTTTCGGCAAAACTGAGCCGCGTAGTAGTCAGTATTGTATCGTATTCAATCCATCATCTAGACCTGTGTAGTGCATCCAACACGCACGGTGGTGCGGCCATCTGTTCCAGACCCGTTTGTTATCCCTGAAGATTAGTTTCAAAATCCCCTTGGCTTACATTCTATGTTTCCCACCTAACGCATAATGCCGCTACGACTTGGAGAGTATCTACCCTGAAATCATCAGAGTACCATCTTTTAATTTTATGGTGATTTTTCTGGGCTGATCTTTTCGTAATTACAGTATATTTTCGATCACAAAACTTGGCACAAGGTCAAATGTCAACTTAAGAAGACACGGGAGTAAGGAGGTACATGTCATTGACCATAAATTCAATTAATCAGAGTCTAGATCTCCAATACTTGTGAATCCTTCAAATCCTGGATCTACTGTTTGGCCGCAATCATCTGCCATATGATCTTTCTGACATTCTAATCAATTTGGGTTCTTACAGCGTGTGTAATCACCATAGTGACATCTTTCATCACACGGGCGTTTTTCGCTTGCACATCGGCACGTTTTGCATTTTGAAGCGGTTTGATCACAATCGCAGCCGTCCTTGAGCCACTAGACTTTCGTTAGCACTGCCTCATCGCCCTTTCATCAATTGCAGATATCGCTTGCTCACCTCCAGGATTTCTAGGCATTCGTGAAGATGTTCATCTGGCGGCCACGTATAGGCTTTCGATCCTCTTCTCCATAGAGCTAGAATTATTGTCATCTTTTCAATAAATTGGCGCGAAAAGGACTCATTTGTAATCTCTGGATATTCGATTTCTGCCTTGGTATATCTTAGTATATTATGAAGTTGGGAACTATGCCAATGCATTGTCCCTGTCATCAAACAGTCTGAGACTGTGATCGGCGCGTGCAATGTACCAGGTGGCTGGATGAGAGTATACCCAGGTGCGATATAAACAGGAATGCCACCATCGGGGACTTGGCCCGTCTCCCTCCATGTCTGGAGACCGTCAATCCCCAAACCTGGCCACATGAGCCACAGCTTGTGCCCTTCCTCGTTGAAGATTGTTGTATATACATAGTGATGATCGACATGCGGGAGATGCACCGCCCCTTGGCTGGCGAGTAAGTGAAAAGAAGTTGATTCGTCCAGGTCCGTGGATTCTGTGCGATACTCCCTTTTACCGTTTTCTTCACGTGAGAGCTCTAGTATCTTGAAGTCTTTGCGATTCGCCAAGAATCCCGGGACAGCATTGTCCTTAATCCCGTTGAGGTTGAGGAAGTTTAATGGGTAAATTCGGCTTCCGTTTCGTTGCATCTTCTGTCGGCTCTTGAACATGTCTATGGCAGAACTCGAAGGGATTCTCTCAGCAACTCTGCCTTTGTTCTTGATGTTTTTGCCGAAATCGTGGACATCAAGATTTGCTCGAGTTTCGAGAATGCCTAAGAACCAATCTATGGAGATATGTTGCTGAGTACTTGACTCGACCACAAGGACTGGAAAACATGGGGGCCCTTTATCGAATATCTTGCGTGCATCGTCCTCTGAGCAAACCACAAGTTTCTTACTCAAGCTGCCGCTAGGTCTTAATCGAAGCACTTCTCTAGCAGTGAGCGGTTTCTGAATTGTGCAGTTTTCCAGCATTTCAACGATTTGAGTGACATCTTCTCGTGTGCGTGTGTTAGTCTCCGAATATTCGAGCTGTTTTCGGAGGACAGAGATGGCCTTTTCATGATATTTTTGGGCCACTCTTACATATTCACCGACCAGGTCAGCCATGGAGTTTGACGACATGTTGATATGGAGTGAGTTCTCAACAGGCTTGTGTAGAGTGAGAATGGCATTCAATTTGAAGCGAGTAGACCTATTTATTGATTCAAATGCAAATATTTTGCAGTTGTTTCGTTGAGATTATCCATACTAATTATAGCACACTTGTGAAAACTGGAGCAACAATGCAGCTACACGATCTCAGTTGACGGAGGTCACAGCCATAGAAGCGTCAGCTATGTTGTGATACAATACGTTACTGGAAATACTGAAAATACTAATCTCGGCCTCGTGGAGATGCGGCGCGTCTAAGGAACGCTGAAAAGGATAGTAACGTGGTAAGCTCTGTATAAGTACTCTATATTTGGAATTACGCCCGGACCTCTTGGTCTTGAGTAGTCACATGAATGCAAAGAACAAAGGCTTACATACATTTACTGCTAACATCATATCATGCCCTGATAGCGATATGTGAGTCATGATGGCTCAAATCTGTATTCAACTTGGCAGACAAAGGTATCATTACATTCAAATTCATTCCGGTAGCCAAAAGGTTAAGTACGTCGATAGTGCCATGCCTTGTGGATTAATGGGAGATGGCAAAATCAATTATCAATAAATACTTTAACCTCAAACCAAGGGATAGAAGAGCATGACAAAGCATCGGTCGATCCTCTTTTGCCGCCCACACACAGATATACTCTGCTATCATGTCCGGTAGCCTAATACATGCTTTGTCACATTTGGTCCTTCTTAGTTTCTTTAAAAAAAAAAGGTGAAATAAGAGAATTCTTGCATGTATTAACTTTCAGTGAATGTCAAGTGAAATTAGAAGTCTAGCAATTTTCGACGGCAACTTCTGTATGGCTACGCTGATCTGAATCTAACCTGGTCTTGTTGTTTGCTTAATGGACTTGCTCCTGATATGTAATTGCTATTTGTTCTTCAGAGGGGCCTCCTTTGAGTCCAAGAACTCCATGAGACTCTTTCAACCGTGTGATAGGCTCCAAAGGCTTTTCACGAGGGCCGTAGAGTAGACACTGGCAGGGCAGGTTTCAGAAAGTCGGACAAGGTTCTAGTAAGTGAGATATGACAAAAGCGAATAGAATGGAGCGGGGATTGATTGGTAAGTGTGTAAAGGGATTAGCAAGATGTCAAGGCACATGGAGCTGTTCTTCATACGACCATCCCCCATCGCTGCCCTTTTCAGTCTGAGCTATCTTCGTTAGCTCTGTTATGGTCGGGATCTAGTTTACCAAGAAAGACAAAATGCCGGCCACAAATTGTGTATAATCTGCTCAAATTCACGGTGGGGAAGTGGCAGACTGTGTTTGGCCTACATGGATATCCCTCTGGGAGCAATGCAATTTCTTTCCCAGAGGTCACCATCCATCTCCTAAGGAAGGTATATACATCTCAACATATAAGTACCCAATACCGGACTGGCTGCAGCAACCTGAAGCCCCAAGGCGCCATTTGCGAACAGGGTGGGAACTCTAGGTTAAGTAGCTAGACACATGATTATACATTCTAGCGACAACAGGTAGAAGAATACCGAGATCGCCCAAATCACTGGGATGGTGGTTCACGAGATTGTGTAGTTAGAATTAATTAACATACTGGCCAATCATGGTTGGGTGTGTGGCAGTACGCCTGATGGTATGCGCACAAGTTCACTACTTTCTCAACTCTGACCTGCAGTCACCAGTGTCATCTCTTTAACAATGCCTCAACCCAACTTTGCCTGCCCGTCGAAGTCCGATCGCTCCGACAATGCTACAGACCAGCAAGAGAGCCAACATGGCCCAGAAGGTCGCTCTGTAACCCTCCATGAGGGCTTTTGTAAAAGGTTTCGCTGTCTCCTGTTGTTTTGTGACCCAGGTTGAGATGACTTGCATGAGAGCCAGTCCCATTGTGTTACCGAGCTGCGCAGCCGTGTTAAAAACAGCACCAGCGACTGCATGTTGTTCCTCAGTAAAAACCTCGGTGATAATTATGAGACCGATTGTGAAAAGAACATCGATAGAGAAAGGCATCAGGATCTGTGCAGGGAAAGCGCACTTCCAGTAAGGCCAGTCCGGCTGGATGACAGCCATAAGAAGGGGAGAGCCAGCAGATATGAGCGACGCGAAAGCGACGAGCCAATTCGCACGGATCTTGTGGACCACAAGACCCGTTGTGATATTGAGAGCGAGGCCAACCACAGTGCTTGGAAGCATGCGGATAGCCGCTTCAAGAGCCGAGAGATGCTCGATTTCTTGGAAACTAGGATGTTCGTTAGCGGAAGGGGCTTTTCGGCTGGCACTCGCTCTCTACCTACTAAAGACTCGTCACGAGATCCAGAGAGTTTAACACAGCAAAGGATAATGCAACAGTGATGCAGATGCTGGTAAAAGACAGATTCTTCCAAAGCCCATTTGGAATCAGGGCCACCCGGTTTCTTTTGACCCGAGAGTGCATCCAGTATACAAATAAGGCAGTCGCTACCATGCTGAGACTCAAGGGCACAAGGGCCAGGGGGGATCGAACTTGATCTATACCTGTGCTGATGAGGCTGTTTTGGAATTAGCTAGCAGGCTTGCAAACAGATAAATCAAATCAAATCCAACCCCCAATTTGATTTGATTTGGATACGAAAATGTGGGATTTGATTTGATTTGATTTGATTTGGATCGATTTGGATCTATTTGGATATTTGGATAACCCCACTTTTCTCCCACGATGAGATACATTGAGCTGCTCCGATAATATCCGCTTGGAGTCGGCCCCTTTGAGCTGTTACCATCTGTCCTGCAAGGCTGAATATTCGCTCCGGCTCGGTAGACATAGCGGGAATTGAAAAGACATCAATTGCCATCCGCGACAGACGTGGATACTGCCGTCTTCGGAGAAGCCAATACTGAATCGGATTATCCACCAAACAATCACCGGGGTCAGTAGTGGCCACCCACTCCGCATACTCATCGCGCGTAGCTGACGGTAAACATGCAGGCCGTGTGCTGAGCTTCCTGATTGAGGCCATAAAGTCATCTAAGTCGGTTGTCTTTCTTGGAACAGTCGGCTGCTCAGGTATCGTTTCCTGCTCGACAGGGAGATTTAGATACTCCTCCCACAGCTCTTGTACAGCTGCCTTTCCTCGTACTAGCCAGTCCGGATGATCACCCCATTGCGACTCGACGGTTGACCAGCGAAAGGCAGGGTGGAGGATAAGGGCTGCGAGATATACAGGGCTATCTTCGGTGAGGGTGTAGTATCGGTCCAGCTTCATCCAGCCAAGATTGCAACCAATCCGTAGGTGTGGTTCTTCATCTAGTTCATGTTGCACCTTGAACTCTTCCAGATGTTTCAGAAGCCACTCCATTGTGAGCAAAACCTCCCAGATCGCACCGAATTTACCTAAAAATATAAGCACAAGCTGAGTGTCAGAAGGCTAGATTCGGCTCACCTTCCTTGGGTCGGCCTTCTAGGCGCTTGGTAGCTATCTTTAACGGCTTCAATATAGCCAGATACTCCGTAATCACGGACCAGTCCTCAACAGACATCTTATCGTCAACAATCGCAGGCTTAGTTCGGCTCTTCTTGGGCATTGGCTTTGTCCCGTTTTGAGTTCTCCTGGCCACGTAGTTGTTCCATTCCGTAACTTCTGCCTGGACTAGGGAATCAAGTGCGTTCCGAAGCTGGTAGCCTCGCTCCATCATCGCCTCAGACGAGTTCCAGCGGGTAGCGTTATCCGTGACAACGTTGTAGGTTGTTTTGTCTTCAAGGTTCAACGCGGTGTTCTCAATAAGCTGGAGCTTGTGGAGCTTCTCAATGCGCTGGCCAGATCGTTGCACCCAGTGAATAATATTGTGCAGCTTGCCAAGCGGGCCTTTCGACCTCCAAAGTTTTATCTCATCGTGGATCTCTTTCTCCGCTTGGCAGTCGTCCTCAAAGGCGTCGGCGTCCGTGCCGAAGAGAATGGATCGGGCGACGAGGTTGATAATATGCCCACAGCAACGAAGCCGCCGGTGCTGCTTGTTGAAGCCGAACTCAGTGCCTAGGTCTTCAAGACACGTGTCGTTGCTCTCCGCATTGTCTGCGACAAAGTACCCAATGCGACCCTCAAACCCATATTCGTGAATTATTTCACTAACGCGATCGGCAAGGTTCTCGCCACTATGACGACCCTCGATTTGTGGCAAGCCTAGGAGGAATGTGCGAAGCTTCCCTTCGTCGTCAAGAAAGTGCACGGCAAGGCCGAGAAGGGAGGTAAACTTGCGAGAGGACCACGCATCAAAAGAGATATTAATGCGGCCAAGTGAGCGACCAAGTATCTCAGTCACGACGCCTTTGTGACGATTGAAGGACCGTACAATCCAGTCACGGATTGTGGTATGGGTAGGGAGACTTCCTGACTCGATGATAGCGCTGTTTGCGTATCCCATGAGCTCGCGGAAATACGGGCTCTCAAGCTTATTAAACGGGACGTTGTCGCAGGCCACCCAGCGTACAAGCAAATGCTGAAAACGAACAGGATCAAACGACGCTATAAATGCGTTCATCACCGCTTGGTCCTTCGGTCGACGACAGTCCAGATCAGCCATGTCGAAGAGAGTGCGTTGCTTCTTCCTCTGCGGTGACATAGGCCCGTCTCGATTGATGCGGTGGACATCTTCCATATGACCGTTTGCTTGGCTCGTAGAAGCAGCGTCGTACATATGAGTGATCGTAGCTTTCTTTCCGTGACAGTCTTTGCAGAGCCAGAATCGGCGACCAGAACCGTCTTTCTCGATATCGAATCCGTGCTCCCAGACCCATCCCGTCCGCGGCCTTCGTCTTTGTTTGCGGATGCAGTACCCTGAAAGTCGATTCCAATCGATGCCTTCGTAGCCAGTGTAGTCGACCGAGGAGGAAGTGTCTATAGTCACCTCTCTGTTGGTATCGGATGGATCGAAGCTCGGGGGGGCGTCGAGGTCACTGGAAATGGTCGAAGGAGTTATTGAAGGTATTGCTCTACAATTGGCATTCGTAGACTGAGCCATTTGGAGCAGGATTGTTGGGGATAGGTGAGGTTGCGAAGCTCAGCAGGCTACAGTCCGAGGCATACAAGCACCGTTGATATGTCGGGACGAACTGCTGGACCATGTCTCGCGAGTCGAACATGGTGCTGTGGCAGGCAGCATCAGCTGAAAGGGCGTCGCGGGTTAATTGTGAGATGCCAGTTGTTTACCAAACTGGGTAGGATCCCAGGTAGAAGTGGGGTTGAGACTCGTCTCAACGCGAATGCTGGTTGGACAACCCCTTATCCAAATGAATTCAAATATCCAAATAAATCCAGGCCTCGAGATTTGATTCGATTTGGATAATTTTTTCCGTCATTTGATTTGATTTGATTTGGATTTATTTGATTTGATTTGGATACGATTTATTTGTTTGCAAGTCTGTTAGCTAGTACATCAATCGAGAGGTATGTGCATCAACGAACCCCAAAAAGTATGTAAGTAGACTTATGGATGTCGATGCAAGTAATGCACCAACCCAGTCGACTTTCTTTTTCAGATTTCGTATCGTGATTCGTAACGAGCCGGGTCGTGCGGCTCTTGGCAATGCCCACCATCCGATGGCGAATAGTAGCAGGGTAAGGCCTCCACAGAAATACCATCCTGATCGCCATCCAAGAGTGTCGATCAATATGCCGCCCACAACGAGGCTAGATGAGAAACCTAACAGCTGGCTTAATCCTAGGCACGCAAAGGCTACGTTGCGTTCTCGACCCTGAGGCTGCACTTGGGTCACAAGGGCCACGGAACTAGACAGATGTAACGCTGTGGCAATGCCCTGCAAGGCTCGTAAGACAACAAGTTGCTCCCCATTCTTGACCAGTCCACAAGTAAGTATGAAGATACAATTCAATATGCATCCCGACAGATTCACCGGTCGCGGTCCTAAAACATCAGCGATAGCGCCCGTGAGGAGCAAAGTTGATGCAGTGGTCAGTCCTTGAACTGAAGATGGCCAGAAAGCAAGAGATGGAGGAAGTTCGAGATCCTTTGTGAGTCGAGGAAGACCAATGACTATAAGACCGTTAGATGCGCTACTGGTGATGTTCATGCCGCATAGATATGTTATTGCAGTCACTCTTCGGATGAGGGACCCAGAGACGACACTATTTGTAACAACTTCTTGAGAGAACTCATCGCCGACAGTTACCAGCTGGACGTCGCTGCCGGGTTTCAGCGATAGTGAAGATGTTGATTCGAGTGGCAGGGCTTCCATATTGGCCCTCATCGACTTCTGGCTGGATATGAAAAGTATTTATCGCTCATGAGAAATGCAAATCTATCTTCTGTAGCGCTACATGTTATAAAAGTCAAAGAAAGACCTTTTCCTGTTCTTGTAGTAGGCTGAAATAGGTTTGATCTATGGGTGAGGACCTCAAGCCCGGGAGGCAGGCTTCCGCCGTTGCAGCTAAGCTGCAGTTCCAATAAGCCACTCATTACAAGCTCAATAGCATCCAGACCCACTTGGGCACAGTAACAAATGAGAAATAATGGAAGAAAATGGCGATTATCCTTCACATTGTGGATCTTATCTTCGGCTAGGGATGCCTTTGGAGAAAACCCAATGTTCACAAGCACGTCAGCATCTGCTAACCATTTCACTGTTTTGCAGACTCCAATACTAGACTTAGGACGCGACTACGTGTCATCATTCGGAACCACCACAACTCCACACCTAGTATGTGGCTTACAACGCCAGTCGAGTGAAGCCACATCGTCGGCTTTGAGTGAAGATTGCGAAACTCTTTCAGTTATTTTTTGGATAAGAAGACGCTGGTGCAAATGCCCAAATGCAAAGCTCGATACCTTAAGTGTGCCTTTCATTGAACCTAGCTAAAGTCCCTTGACTGCTTACGGTACATGTACAAAGCAGTTTTTGTTTGCTTTTTTCGTTCGCTTTTCTTGCTGTCATCTGTACAAGCTCGTTGAACGTAGCTACGGCGGGAAATGACGCTCTTGTAGGGTGGAACGTCAGTAGAGAAATAATACCCGTTAAGATGCATAGATGACCCACCTTGGAGACTGAGAGCAAGGGAGCCTCTTTGATGAACCATTACCGATTACTCCACATACTTGGGTAGGGCCTAGAGATCGGCCCCCCGTGCTTTCGTTACTACCTTCGGTATCCGTGCCTCAAGCACGGGGGGTGCACTGACAGGGAAAAGGGGCTGCTGACAGGGAAAAAATTTAGGTACCTCAATTTAGCTGCAAAACCCGCCAAATTTTTGTAGCCTCTTTATATGCATGTCCCCGTTTCCTACACCTATGATGCCTACAATTATTTATCTACCGCAACACCACAGCCTCTATTGACATCACCACCTCAACAACAAATATTAAATCAATCACAACTATTGCAATAGTACTTCAATTAATTAAAAAAATATGACATCTGAAAGCCCAGAGCTTGCTCCATCAGCACAACAAATATATATCAATCCTGAGACTGGTTTACCACGAATTTCAGCGCTCATCATAAATCAATCAAATCAACTTTGAGGTAAAAGTTGATTTGTTTGATGGGCCTTCGGTCCAAAGTTGATTTGTTTGATTTGATTGGCTCGTCTCAATCAATTGTATGGGAGGCCTATATATTGGGTATGTGAAGGTATTACGCCGGATCCAAAGCCTCAATTACCGACCCAACTGCCCAGCTTTACCCCGCCGTGTCGGACCCAGTTCCTCAGACAATGAACTCGCTCCAGCGTGTCGGCGCCCATTGCGAGCCTTTGCGATGTTAGTGTCAGCTTGGCTAGGCTGAACTGCCTCTCGCAGTCGGTTGCCATAGCCGGAATGGCAAAGACATCCAAGGCAAAGCTGCTTAGCACCGGGAATGAAGGCTTGTGGTCCCTCCACCATTGGATTGGCTCTTGCGTATCTTGTGGCTCAAGGCGGAGGTATTTGTCCATCTCGCTAACACTGCTGCTCGTTGCAAATGCCTTTTTCGTTCTGCTGTTGATCCATTGCGTGTAGTGATCATCCTCTTTACCCCTGTTCGTTAATGATGAAGCAGACTTCGACTGTAAGTCGTCCGTCCGCTGGTTCGATTGATACCACCGCGCGAAGTAGTCCTTTATGCCCGCCTTCGCATCGCGAACCCAGGCCAATTGCTCCTCAGTGGCCCAAGTAGCCTCCAACCAGCTGATGCCGAATCTCGGATGAAGGATGACTGCTGCCGCAAACAAGGGAGATTCTCCGAGCTTGCAGTAGTATTCATCCAGCTTCTTCCAGCCGTTGTTGATCGATGCCCGAATATATGCTCGGTGGTCTGCTGGTAATGAGCTCTTCTGGGAAATCTTAGACGCCGGTGGCTTGTCAAGCGCCGCATACTCAGCCTGAGAATGCTCCGGCAAGGCAGCTACCGTGAAAGTTGGCGCTTGACTTCGCTGTTGGGATATATAGACCTCTTCCCCATCGAAGCGAGCAGGGCGACGGCGGGAACGGGCCGACCGGATGTTAGTCCCCCTCAGAGGCGCAGACGCTCTTCCAATTAGTTCGGGATCATTTAGATTCGTCGCCCTTATTGTTTCGGTCGTGAACTCATTGTAGAAGCCTTTCCAGTCTTCAAAATGCTCGAGCAGGTATTCCATTCCTACCAGAACTTCCCACAGGCGCCCATGGCTGTCGCCTTTACCCCAGCCTTGGGTTCGCATTGTCTGATGATATAGAGGCGTAAGTATCTCATTGACCTCACCAAGCACGCGCCAATCCTCGTTGGATAAGATGTCATCAGCAGGGATACGTTTTTCTTCGTCTTTCTCGCCTTCGAGTGCAAAGATGTAGGCCCTGATGTCAGTCTGCTTCCGCAAAGCCCTCTCTATCATCATATAAGTAGAATTCCACCGCGTCTCATTGTTCAAGATGACCTCAAGCTCGGCGGTTGATTCCTCGCAAAGATGGTACCCTTCGTCCTCCTGCTCGTGAGCGATGCGCTTGAAATATTCGCTGCGCTGAGGTGAGGATCTGATGAACTTGACGATATTGTGCAGCTTCCCAATTGGGCCCTTCGAACGCCAATGGCGAAGATCTTGCTCCTGAAGACCTCTCATGCCGTTGATATCTGACTCTAGCTCGAAAGATTCGGCGTCTTTACCGAAAAGAAACGCGCGGGCAACAAGGTTAAGAACGTGGCCGTAGCAACGCATGCGACGGGCCTTGATATCAGCCGGCCGGATCGAAAGGTCGAGCTGCCGGTAGAAGTAAGAGAGACAGGTATCGTTCGTAGTCACGTTATCAGAAATGACCGTGCCAACCTGTCCTCGGATATCCCACAGTTGAACGATTTCGAACAATGTCTCGGCAAGATTCTCACCACTGTGGATACCTAGCTGACGGCGTAGAGCGAGCAGCCTGGATTGTTGGTTCCCGAATTTGTCGATGAAGTGTGCAAAAACTGCCATTATCGCAAGACGGTTCGGTGATGTCCAGAGATCAAAGCTGATGTGTATTTTTGTTAAGGCGCTGCCCAGCTCCGCTTTGATGATATCCGCCTTAGACTCGAAGATCTTCTGTAGCTCTCTGGTACCATGCAGTACCCACCTGCCGTACGTACCCACCTACCGTACACCAAAAAAGATTTTCCCCATACAAAATGCCCAATTTCACTTATAGAGTACGTTGTCAAAATGAAAGATATTTTGATGAGAAAATGTCTGTTATATTAAGAATTGCATGGAATTTAATATTTCCACTTTGCTTCCACAGTGACGCTTGCGGTGTGGTCGCACGGAACTAATATAAAATGTCTCAAAATGCCTCCCTTATCCACCAGCCTCCTCGAAGCTTCATCCAAACTTTTCTCTTCCCCATCTTTCCTTGGTCACCTCAAACATGTCTCAATCATCTTATACGGAGGACGATGTTATCTAGGCCATACTAGATGTCACAGAAAATGGCCTCTCCCAGAACCAGGCCGCCCAGAAGAACGGCGTGCCTCCGACCACTCTCTCTGACCGATTAAGAGGCCTACCGTCAAAATCCGAGGTCACCCAGCCTGCTCAGCTGCTATCCAAGTCGGAGGAGTCCAGATTGGTTACCTGGATACTTCGACAAGAGGCCTTGGGCTATGCTCCTTCCCACAGTCAAGTTCGCGCCACCGTTGCTGCCCTCTTGAGACAGCAAGGACGGGAAAGGCCTATCGGTGTACACTGGCTAGCTAGGTTCATTAAACGCCATGACGATATCAAGACGAAGGTGGGGAAACGCCAGGAAGCTGCAAGGTTCAATTCCTTTACCCCAATGGCCGTCAATTGGTACTTTGATATCCGGGAGAGCGAATATGGCTGGATCAAACCGGAGAACACGGTTAATGTTGACGAGGGCGGTATCATGGCTGGATTTGGTGAGTATTGATCATTTTTGCTACCAAACTCACTAATCCACTGAAAAATATAGGCTTGGATTCCTTGGTCATTGGCAGTAGCGATCCTAGGAGGAAGGCCTTCCTCAAGGGCTCTCAGTCCCGCACTTGGACTACCTTTATCGAAGCCGTCACCGCAGATGGTCGTCTTCTGAAGCCGGGGATTATCTTCAAAGGTAAAGAGCTTCAGCAACAGTGGTTTATCGACGAGCTCCGGGGGATCGCCGACTGGTATTATATCACGTCCGACAATGGCTGGACGGACAACCATATCGCAGTCGAGTGGCTCAAGGAGGTCTATCTGCCTCAAACGCAACCGGCGGATGAGTCTGATGCAAGGCTCATCATATTAGATGGCCATGGAAGCCATGTATCTGTGAGTATCTACCTGTTCTAGATCGGAAATGCCGCTGACGGCGCTGACTGAAAATCCAGGATGAGTGGATGGCTACGTGCTTTTTGAACAACGTATATTGCTGTTACCTGCCTGCACACTGCTCTCATGGGCTGCAGCCGCTGGATAATGGCGTCTTCAATGTATCCAAGGCTGCCTACCGAAAAGAACTGCAGAAACTCGCCAGCCTGACCGATTCTGCGCCGGTAGACAAGGTCAACTTCATCAAGGCCTATGCCAAAGCCAGAGCAGTGGGTATGACGAAGAAAAACATCCTCTCAGGCTGGAGAGTGACGGGAAACTGGCCGATTTCACGACGGAAAGCGCTCATGCATCCTGAGATTCAGCCAGACAAGAAGGAAACGACGCCCGGGTCAGACGGCCACCGAGACGGGCAAGTCGACTCTGATAATACGCCAAAGACCAGCCGCCACATCCGAGATATGGGGAAGAACAAGAGCCC